TGTGGGGATTTTCTTCTTTGTAGGCCGCGATGACCCTCCAGAATGAGTTAGGGGCAGGGCTGCTGATCCGGCCATGGATTCAGGGAGCTCTAAAGTGAATCTCTACCGTTCCTTTAAAGGTTTTTCTGGTTCCTCTCAGTGTTGTCATTGCCCAGGTCAATCTTGTAGTTGTCCAGCTGTGCTCCTTGTTGCTGTCTTGTGAGTCTTAGCCAGTAACCCAGATGCCTGAGGACAGGCCTGAGGGGGCCTCACCTCTCCTGACCAAGGGTGTGATCCTAGCCTGTAAGGAGGTGTCTTCCCAAAAGCAGTGAAGTGTGAGAGACCTGCAAGTGGTAGCCCAGAAGACCGGGTGTGTGCCTCTTAGGCTTGGATTTCCACTATGTTAGTGAGTTTAGGAAAATACTGTGTCTTTAATGGATGAAAATTCAATGTATGCTGTGAATTTGTTGGTTTGAAGCATTGAAAATTTTCATTAGACAATGTTTACATACCTCACCTAAAAACCTTTGAGAGTGTATATATGAAATTTTAAAATATATTAAGTTGCTTTAAAACAATATGTATAGCTATAAAAGTTGGAGTTATTTTAACTTTGAATCTGTACTGAGTCTCTTGAATATTGAAATCCTGTAGACTTCCTGTGCTTCTGTGTTTTCTTTCCTCTTAGGCTTTGTAGGAAACTGTGTTCTTGGTATTGGTAAAGGGTCCCGCACTGCAGTGCAAGCCTGGAAGGATTTTCTGTGTCATTTCAGATTCTTGTTTGGTTTTGAAGGGTGGGGATGGGGCTAGAGGAGGTATGGGAGGGTTTTCTCTAATGTTGGCATCTATTCCATGAGCTTTTCCAAGGCGCTTATTTTATTGCAGCATATTAAACTTCTTTGATATTAAAGTGTGTCGGTGTGGTCACTGGAGGAGGTGGTCACTAAAGCCCTGCATTCAGATTGTCACCTGCATCAGGTAGTTGACAAACTGCTGGAAGAACCCGAAGAGCACTACTTGTGTGCTAATGTGGATTCTACATCCTTGTGTGAGTTATGCCTAGCTTCATGAAAAGGAAAATATACGGTTGAACCCTTAGGTTCCCATGGCATAGCTTTTAAGGCACCCTGAAGGTGTTTCATGCTGAGAATCCAGCAGCAGTGGTGGTCAAGCCACTGACCTCAGGCAAGCTCCCACTGAGTGTGCAGCCTGCGGCCAGGCTTCCCAAGAGAGTACAGAGGAAGTCCTTTGGCTGGCCTCATGGCCTGCTGCTTTTCTGTTCTTGCAAGTTGATTGATTTGTGACCCACCGGACAGTGATTCATGCTGAATCCACCGCGATTTCATTAACAGGTTCATCTGAAAGTGGCCATGGGGATGCATAACCAGCTCAAGCTAGCCAACATCTAGTTATTAGGCCACCCCTTCTGAGTTTGAATTTAGAAAAATGAACACCTAGTTCCAGTTAGAAGTTTCTTGAATCACTGTTCCAGGTTCTGGGGGCTTTGGTACAGGGGTGAGAGAATTGCATTGCCACCAATCCCAGGCAAACCTGATGGCTCAGTCATCAAACTGGATGCCTGGTGGAAATCTGGGCGTTCCTGCTGCCTCCACTCTGCACCCAAGCCCTGCCATTCCTTGAGCTGGGAATGTCAGTGCTGAAATTTGCCACTGATTTTACTTAAAGTGCAGAAGTTGCAAACTAGCACCCCACGGAAGAGTTTTGTTTAGCTTATTGCTTTTCCTATGAGCTTCTTAACAAAGATGGAAAATGTGACACTGCTATTACCCAGATGCTTGTGTTAGGAATTTGCTGGCACTCAGTAGAGGGGAGCATGTGCCACAGTCTCTAAATTGATTGCCATTTGTAAGATGTCACTCTGCTTCTTCAATAGAGCCTGATACTGCAAGTGATGGGCCAGGAGGGCAGGGCCCACTTGACTGACTTGGCTCCCTGAGGCACTTGGGTGAATAGCCCTACTCAAACCTGTTTTCTCTCCTGTACCCTGTTCTTGTTTTCTCAAATCATTTTGAAGACTTGCTTACTGCCCAATCGCACAGTGATCAGTGTGTCCAGCCTTATCTGCCAGGGCCTGGCCTCCCTGGATGCTCATATCCTACATCCAGAAGGTTCCCAGATACAATCTTCCAACCTGAAATGGTAGTAGAACCACTAGAAAGGCACACTTGCTCCCATTCTGCACATCCCTGTGAATCCCTGGGACAAGCAGATAAACCTTATAGGACCCCTGGGACAGTATCAATGTCTCCTTGGCTACGTGGATGCTCCAAAACCCTCAGAGCCAGGTTCAACATAGCCCTGCAGGCTATGATGGTTGGTGCACACTTCAGGGGTGAAGGTGGACAGCTCCCCCAGACAGTGTGTGCTGTGCCCAGCTCTGCCCTAGTGGTAGTAGACCAGGGAATCAGGCCCCAGGTGTCCCCTAGGCCTCCCTTTCCTTCAGGAGAAATTGTCATTTGCCACTTCAGGAAGACCAACTAGAAGGCTCCAAGGGCAGAGAGAGAGAGTGTGTGTGTGTGTGTACATGTGTATGCTAGGCTATGCCCATCTGTGGTCAGCTCAGAAGCTCTTGTGCCCTGGAAGGATGAATGCCAGCAGCACCAAGCTCACCCCCAGCAGAGAAAAAGACATCAGCAAGGCAGGATGAGTGAATCAATGTCATGTTCACATGGAAGACAACAGACAATATCAACAAACCCTAAGCCAGTACTTCCAGGGAAGGGGAAGGGGTGGCTCCTTCACAGGCCCAATCTAAGTTGATCGAAATAAGACTACAGAAACCCCCAACCAAAGACCACAACCACACAGCATCTGAAAAGCAAAACAAGACACTGGGTGTTGACTTTAACATATAAAAATACTATAACAAAATGAAATACAAATATATATTAGAATCTGTAAGTATTCTGTATAAAGAGATACTTTTGCGGTTAGGCTAACAGCAGGCAAGGAGACAGTCCAGCCTTTTCCATTTCCTAAGACCTCTGCAGGGAGTCTGGCCCAGCAACAGCTTCCTCAATTGCTTCAGTACATGGTTTATGGAAACAGCTAAAGGTGACCACAGGTGAACTGAAGGTCTTGCCCAAAGTGGAGGTGGGGTGAGGAGGCAACTTCTTTGAGGGACAGTTCACAGGTGCTCCCTTCTGGGACTCAGCAAGCTCCGTGTGTGCAGGCCAGGAGGGTGAGGGTGCAGGTCCTTGGCATCTTGCTGGCTGGAGGCCTCATTGCAGAAGAGTTGATCGTGGGACACAGAGCTCCCTTGGCCACTGGCTATCCTTGCCCTTGTGGATTCCAGTCCTCAGGCTGGAAGGGCCAGCAGGGGCAACCGAAGACTCACATGGTGTTCCCTAGAAACCAGCTTGTCAGCCTGGGGTGGGGGATTTGGGCATGTATAGTGTCCCTTGCACTTTCTGCAAAGGCGGGGGGAGAGTCAGTGCCAGTCAGTGCCCTCTCAGTCCCAGGAACTAGCTTCTCCAGAATGGAGGGAAATGGTGGTGGCTGAGGAAGCTGTCCTTCTCGGGATTGGTGAGGCCTGGGGCACACGTCTTCTAGGAGAAGGGCAAGCTACTGGCACTCAAGCCTACCCTCAATGGGTTGTTGCTGCTGTTCTCCAAGGCCCCACAGCGCCTGAAGACTCAAGACATGTAGGCTGTGCAACCCCAGGAGGCCCAGTTGCTGTCCATCTGGCAGTGAGCAGGATCCCTCTGGCCTGGCTCACAACTGCAAGAAAATACAGCTGGGCCCCTTTGAGGGGCAGATGAGTCAGAAGGACAGGGCAGCTTACTCTTCCCATTACAGGGCATACATGTTTGCTGGCTGGAGTACTGCTGTGAGGGAACGTGAAACTGTCACAGCCACAGAGACCCACACCCCCTACTAACCAGCATTAAGGGCTGCCCACATGGGCTGCCTACCATCCACAAAGGCACAGCACCACTCCAGGCAAGGAGGCTGCCAGGAAAGAGACATGCTGTTCTCCCCTGCTCCCCCGGAGGAGACTTCTGGAAGACCAGTGCTGAACTCTGCAGCCTCAGCTGGCTATTTAGGTTCAAAAGCCATCTTTGAGGTTTTCACCTGACCGTGTAGGAAGCAGTGTCCAACACTGGGCGGCTTGGTGGAGGCGCAGCTGCACCTGGGCTGGGGCCGCTTCTCACAATGCTGCCTTCCCATTCATCTGGGAGCCACTCACACCTGCCGTCTGGGGCTGCACAACCCCAGGGCCCAGCCCCAGTTAGGCGGTGAATACTTGGTGATGTAATCCCAGAAAATGGATCTCCAAAGATCTCTGTGGGAGAGCCACCTGAGGGACCAGGGTGAAGGCAGAAACTGGCCCAGAAACTGGCTGGAGGAGGTTTTCTGAAACCTGGGCCGTGGACCTGCTTGTAGTTCAAGGGACTTTAAGCTGAGACCCTTTCCCCATACACACACTCACCCACCAAGCAGCCCCTAGATAAGTGTGCGAAAGTGCCCAGGACCATGCACCTTGTGGCTGGTGAACCTAGAACCCCCACCCTCCGCAATGGATCGGCCCTCCCCAAGCTGCTGGGCTTCTGCGGGACGTGGAGGCTCAGAGGCCTGGCGTCTCGATGCAGCTGCACACCCAGCTTTGGGGTTGCAGAGGCCCAGGTGCTGCCACAGGCAAGATTCCTCATCACCCTGTGCTGCCCACGCTGCGGGCACAGACCCAGACCAGCTGGCCGCTCCGGGGAGGTTGGCAGTGGGGACTTCTAGGGTTGGGCACCCAGCTTCGGGTCTTCCAAGGCTCTAGGCTGAGGCACCCAGGTGGCCCGCAAGGAGGTGGGCTGACCTCACGCGCACACTCATTCCACAAATATTTATTAAGCGCCTATTTGTGCAAGGCACTTGCGGAGAAGATGGTCACCCTCTTGTTCGCCGGTCCTCCGCCCGCCTGTCCGAGCAGCAGCTCCAGACTGGCGGGAGCGGTCAGGCTCCCCGGGTGGGGGTCTCAGTCCCTGCACATGCGATGACCCGCACCCGCACCCGCCCGGCCTGGCCCGCCCCGCCGGCCCGCCTAGGCGCACGGGGTGCAGCCGCATTTACTGGGCTTCTCCACCTCCTCTGCAAAAGACGTCCCGTCGCTGCACTCGAAGGTAAGCTTCCTCCGCTTCAGCCGCAGGCCCCGGCAGCAGCCCGAGCCCCGGCAGGAGCCTCGGCATTCCACCCACGAAAGCGGGCGCGTGGTTTGGCAGATGGCATAGCCCCTCTGGACCTGGTGAAAGTCCCGGACGGGATCGCCCTGGCACTCGGACTCTGGATGGGACAAATACCGAGAGAAAGCCTCAGGGTGCATTCCTGGGGTTGCTGCTGCCCCTGGGGAGGCAGGAGGAGGAGGAGGAGGTGGGCAGGATCTGGAGTGCTCAGACCCAGCCTCCATCCCCAGCATCCTCCCTCTGGCTGCCCACATGCACATGCACATGCCTCCACTGGGCTTATGGGAATGGGGAGTCTCCAGGCCAGTTGGGGCTGCTGAGTCACATGGACTCCATCCCAGAGCTGAGACAGAAGAGGTTGGAGCAATGCATGCTGGGGAAGGGGTGATCTAGGGGACCCTGGAGGGGCCCAAGTGCACCCTTTGGCTTCCCTTGCCCAGCATTAGCTCTGGCATTGGCTGTCAGGAGTCCAGAAGAAATCTTTTGGTCTAGCTGGCCAGGCAGGGCCAGGGGAGGCGTGCCCAACCCTCAGGCATTGGCTGCTCCCAGGGGCCTGAGGTGATAGGGCCAAGATGTGGGGATCCAGGCCAGAGTCGTGACTGGGGGGGTCTCTTCTGTGAGGAGAGACCTTTGCCAAAGAAGGACACGTGACCAGGATGAGGGAGCTGCAGGGTGAGCTAGGCCCAGTGCTAGAGCCAGCCAGGGTTGGGGCTCAGTGCCCAGAGAATTGGGGGTGCTGCTGGCCCAGCAGCAGCTCCAGATGTGGAGGAGTGGCAGGGATCACCGAGGGGCTACTGAGGTCACAAGGAGAAAGAAATCCAGTTGCTAAAAAAAGTCGTATCTGTTGGGAGAGACCCTGGAGAGGGCACATCAGGAGGGGGGGCCCTGACCTTGATCACACAGCTTGCCCGCAAAGCCAGAGTCACACACACAGTGTGCCCCCTTGGAGGCCGAGGCCTGGCAGTGGCCATGCAGGCACTGCAAGCCCCCACAGGGCTCTGCTGGCACCCCAGCCTGGTTGCACAGGGCGCCTGAGTACCCCTCCTGGCACTGGCAGCTGTAGGAGAGAGCATCAAGAGGCATGCATGTTCCGTGGACACACCTGCAGGGGACAGAGAAAAGGGGCTGTGAGAACATACCCACCTGAGACTTACCCTGAAGGGACCCCACACCCACTGGCCCTAACATCGAGAATGCTCCTCCATTCCCAAGAGCAAAACCACGTCTGGATTTCTTCCACATGGGGCCTGCTGCAGTTAACAAAAAACAAAACCCAGGCACCAGCAAGCAGCAAAGCCCTGTGTTGGACTAGGGTTTCCAACATGGATCTGAAAGCATTGTTCAGGAGACAGCTCTGGACCCTGGTTATACAACTTGAAGGGAAGGGCCATGGGGCAGGGCCCTTCAGCCCAGCCCCAGACTCACTTGTGGCCATGGCAGGGGCCGTTGGCTGGCTGGTCACAGTGCACACCTCCCCAGCCAGCCTCACAGTGGCACACGGGTCCTGGGGTGGCATTGGGCTGGCAAATGCCATGCAGGCAGTAGAGCTTGCGGCAGGGCTCACAGCCAGGCACCACGCCTGGCTTCATCTGCGTCTTGGTAAAGTCCTGTAGCTCGTTGTTGATATACAGGTTTCGGATGCAGCCATGGAAGCTGGTGCCATTGAGGATCTGCCACAGGCGGAAGGCGGCTGAGTTCACATCCACTGGCATCCCTGGATGGGGCAAGGAGAGAGGAGCTGGGCTGAGTCAGCCTCAGCTGAGCCTGGCCCTCAGAGCCCCAGTGTCCCATTTTGCCCTTGGCCTCTGACCCTGTGTCTGAGGCCCTGAGCCAAGGAATTGTGCCACTGTGGAGGGCCCACATTCCTTTTCCAGAAGGAAGGAAACAGCCACTTCCTCTGGGGTCAGAACCTCAGTACCTTGGTCTGTGGGTGATCCTAGGGCAATGGGGGATGGGTCTTGGGAGTGGCCCAGTGGCCCAGAGTGGCAGAGGCCCTGCCCTGGACCAGCTGACCCCAATGCCCGATGGGGCATTCTGAGGAGGGCCAGGTGCTCACCTCCCACGTAGAGGGGAGCCTCACTGTTGAGCGTGTAGTGTTTGCCAAAGTTGTCCATGGTCATAGGACTGCCGCCGTCAATGGAGAGATTCACCATCTGGTCAAAGGTGACCAGCTCAACGGTGTGGAACTGCCCGTCATTGATGGTCTCGGCACTGTAAGAAGGTGAGGCACCATGCTCCAGGGAGAGGGCTTCCAAGGGAACCCTCCCTGACAGGCCATGGGGTCCCCAGTTCTCTATGGAAGGGGCCTTGGAGGGTACACAGGGTACTGTAGCCTGCTGCAGCATGCTCCCCTTCCTTAGGATTCCCTGGGAAAGGCTGAGAAGTTTAGGACAGGGTTCTCCTCCTCTGTTCAGGAGCCCCCTGTGAGCCTAGGGTGGGACAAAGGAAGCAGAGGCTGCTGCTCAAGCCCAGGGTTGGACCAGAAGGTGCTCAAGTCCATTGTACTTGGAGAGCTCTCCGCTGCAGCTATGGGCACCAGGAAGCCATACCTGTAGATGGCAGAGCTGGGATAGCTGCCCGGGTCATAGCTGACACGCACATGGCCCTGGTACAGCTCAACGGCGATGTGGTCGTTGTCCCCGTTGTATAGCAGGATCCCATTGTCCTCTGCTGTGGAGACCTGATGGGCAACGGCACTTTCTCTCCACCCCACCCCATGCAGAGGTGACACAGGCTGAGAGTCAGGACAGATGGGGGACCCAAGAGTGGAGGGGGAACTTCTGCTCTGCCTCACCAGTCCACCCAGGAGCCACCCCTCCTGGGAGGGGTGCTGGCTCAGGCTGGCAGCCCCTGTTTCAAGCTCCAGCTACCACCAGCCTGGCTAGGTGATGCAGGGAGAGCAGGTGCACCAACTGAGGCTTGGAAAACTATGTGCCACAGGAGCAAGCCAGGGAGAGGAAAAGGGACACTGGGACCCTCCCGGGCATGGGGTGCTAGCCCTGCTTGGTGGGAGTTACCGAGGGGGTCTTTGGCACAGGGCCCAGGCTGGACCAGTCACACACCCCATCTCCTTGGTTTCAGAGGTCAGTCAGGGAGAGTCCTAGGATTAAGGCTGGGCCAATCAGAGCTCCCCTGGGATTGTTGGTGGTTGACTGATTAGAGCCAGTCCAGAATAAACCCTTGAAATCTCTGGCAACGGGACCTTCTGGGTTGGCAGGGCAAACAAATGAATGTGCCTGGGGCCACGGTGGGTTAGGGTTTTGGTGCGTTGTATTCTACGAAGCAGTTAGGGAAGCTGTTGTCTTGCTGTGTGGACAATGTAGGTGGATAGGACTTTGGAGAGATGATACAGGGGAGAAGAGCAGAATGAGCATGTTCGAGAGGCTGAAGGGTTCTGAGAAAAAAGCAGGACAAAAGAAGGGGAGAAGAGAGTTGTGGCATTTGTGATCAGGAATGGAATCTTAGGGAAAGACAGAGATGACTAAAGAAGAGCTTAATTTCTTTTCATGTGATATGTAGCATATGCCACTCTCCGCTCCCTCCCCTTGACACAGCAGAGTATGTCTACTGCCCATCTACAGGGACTTGCTCACTTTCTTTGCTCAACATGATGATGTTCTGAGATGAATCAGGAAACATGAAATGGACAACGGAAGGGCCCCTGGGGACTGCTGGTTACCGATAAAGCCCAGGCAGGAAGCAGTGTTAGGGGCAGAAGCTGGGAGACAGTGGACACAGATCTGCCTGCTTGCATTCAACCATGCTGGGATCCCAACACTCACAAAGCATTTTGACTGTGACACAACCTCTGATTCCCGTGCAGGGGTGTGTCCGGATACTCAGACCTGAGGCCAGGGCCCGTGCTCCCAACTCCCCTCTGCCAGGCTCCCTGGGCACTCACCTGCAGTGTGATGTTGGCACGAGGCCAGTTCTGCAGGTCAGTAAACTGCAGGTAGGTGTCCCGATCCACAAAATTGACGCCAAGCAACTTCTCACACTCAGGACCACCGAAGCCTGGCAGGCACTGGCACACAGGCCGGCTGCCCTGGTCCACACAGTTGGCACCATTCTGGCACTCAGTGCCCTCACAGAGGTTTTTGGGCACAGGCAGCCGAGGCGGGATCTCACAAAGCTGTCCGCTGTGAGGAAAGCACAGGAGTAAGAGAGGGCACAGGCCTGGGAGGAAGGGGACATTGTCCTTCTGCAGGATGATTCACAACCAGTGAGCGCGTTCCCCATGAGGACTCAAGCTACGAGGATACTGGCAAGTAAGTGCAGCTCCCATCCCACAGCACTGACATTAGGGGGCACTTGTTGGAAATGAAAAACCTACAGAACCTGCTCCCTAGCCTCAGCCCAGGTGACTGATGGCCAAGCTTTGCAGCATGTTCCTGGGCCTATGGATGCCTTAAGGTAGGCTTGGTCAGCCAGTAGATCTTGGAAAAATCTTCTCAACTCTGGTACATGAAGTTGATGACATCTCAGAAACATCAAAATCACTCAGGTAACACTTGGAACACTCTTCCCAGCAACGGGATCTCTTAGGCATCATCAAATGACTGTCCACCATCCCTGGGCACTAATGAAGTCAGCAAGGAGTGTTCTCCCCCTCTTATCCCACTGTGGACACAGGAGGAAAAAATTGAAGCATTTGTCCTACCCTCCTTCCTCCACATTCCTGGGACACTTACCTGTAGCCCTCAGCACAAAGGCAGGTATAGCTGTTGACCTCATCCACGCACTGAGCCCCATTCTGGCAGCGATGATCTCCACAATCATCCTGATTCTCACTGCAGTTGTCCCCTGTGTAGCCTGGTGCACACTCACACCTGGAGGAGGAAGGGGTGGGCTTTGGGTCAGCCCTACCTTCAGCCCAGAGCTCTGGCAGCCAGGAGTGCACCAGGGGTCCACCACAGGGACAGAGAACCCCAAGTCCCTGTGAGTATGTGGAGCCCCAAGAGGTCAAAGCACTGGGCATGGGTACATGGGGTGGGGGAGGGTGCTGGTCCCTCAGGAGTCTCTTGCACAGTAAGAAGAGTGCTTATGTGAACCCGAGGTGGGCTGGGGCAGAGTAGAAAAAGTGATGCTGGACAGTAGGTGGACATGGGACTCCCGTCCCCAGGCCCTAGCCCTCACACCAACAGCATGTCCAAGACCACCTCTTAGCTTCTTCCTGACAGCTTCCTCCTTGCTCTCCCAGGAGCCCCCAGCACTCAGCTGAGCTTCATGGGCTCATCCATCCCCCCTTCTCCCAGCCTCCCTGCCCTTGGCAAGGGTAAGTGCCCCTCTCAGGAGGGACATTGATGTAACGCCAAACCCCAGTATCTGTGCCTCTCTGTTTTCTTGAAAATCCATTTAGCCAACCATTTTATTATCAAAGTACTGTCCCTCCACCTCCTTGCCAGGCCTGGCTTTGTCAGATGCTGCTTTGTCCTGTAGGCCACCACTCTAGGCCCACCCTGCCGAGCAAGTTTCTGCCTTCACATCTGGCGATTCTGGAGTACCCTCCATACTCATCCTGTGTGGTCCTGCTAAGCCAGGTGACTCAGCTCCTCCACTATAGCCTTCATGGAGCAATTCCTTACCCAACCCCTTTCAAGCTCCAAAGACTGCAGCTCAAGCCCACATCCAAACAGATCAGTGTAGAAGGACATTGGGAATCCTTGCCACTGTGGAGACAGAGACTCCCTAGTCCCCTAGGCCCAAGGGATGGGCCCATGATGGTGCTCGTTTTCTGCGGTGTGAGGGACAAGCCCAGCAATTCCAAAATGGGCAGTGTGTCAGGCTGCTTCAGTCTCCCCTCAGTGGCCCAGCCCAGAGCAGGCTCAAGCCCAGGTCTGCTTGCGGCTACTCTGCCCCTCCTTACAGCAGCTTGCCCCAAAGGGTGGCATCACCAGCACCTGGACCAGCAGCCTTGAAACCTGGGATCTGGTCTCCATGAGCCCCTGCTTCCACCTTCCTGCCCAGGGAGCCCAGAGGCAGCTGTAGCTAGTCTGCGGGCTTCTTGGGTAACACCACCTCCCGTCTTGAGTCCTCTGGGCTGGAGTCCCAGATCCATACCCAATCCCAAAAAGCCCTGCCCTCTCTGTCGTGCCCTGCCCACTCCTTGCTGCTCTGACCAGAGCAATGGGAGAAGTCCAGAAATAAGGTTGTGTTTGCAAAACTGCAGGTGGGAGCAACATTCTTAACACCCATAACCTTCATTCAGCAGTCTTCATGTGACAGTGTATTTGCTCAGGCTCCAGAAATGAGAGTAGGGGGTGATAACACAGTCAACAATGTCCTACCCAAACCTCCCATGGACAGGCTTTGAATTGGGCACTTTTTTATTGTGGTAAAATCACCCCCATCAGCTGTATATGTCTTCTGTGGAACCTGCTGCCACCCCCACCCAGCAGCCCCTAAAGCTGGAAGCCCCACCCATGCATAGCACCAGGAAGGAAATGTCAAGGAGAGCTCAGCTTGTCACACCCTGACAGGCAGGGCAGACCAGACTTTGCAATTGCATGGGTTTGGGTTCTCTGAAATTTGCAGATTTTGATTGGAGGCCGGGATCTGGCAGGATGAATGTTATTTACAGAGCTTGGTGCTCGCACCTTCTCATCTAACCCTTGCCACGGCTGACACAGCAAGAAGCAAGTGTCTCATAGAGCTGGCAGGTGAGAAAACAGGCTCAGAGGACCACAGGGCAAAGCCAGGTCTTTCCTGCCCCAAAGCTGTACCCCCAACCACTCCTGCCCTGACAACTAGGTCTATCTGAGGCCTAGTTTCACCAGACAAGGGAGGAACTAGGCTGTGCGGGGAGGGGAGGATCCAGCCTGCTTTGGCAGTCTGTGTCCTGGCCCTGGCAACAGGAGATACTAACCTGGGCCCATCTGGGGTGCCCACACACTGAGCCTCATGCTGACACGGGTTCAGATCTGGGGAGCAGAAGTCCACCAGCTGCTCACAGGTCCTCCCTGGGAGAGAACAAAGCTGCTTTCCTGAGCTCGGCCTGGTAGCTGGCCCAGGAGAACCTCCCACGGATGCTGAGTCAGGCCCGGTCCAGCTTACCCACCCTGCCCAGCTTACCAACATACTGCAAGGGACATTGGCAGGTGTAGTTGCCCACACCATCCACACAGACGCCCCCATTGGCACATGCGTGCTCCACACAGTCATCTATGTTCACCCCACAGGTTGGTCCTTCAAAGCCAATGGGACAGGAGCACCTGTGTGAGACAGGGAGGGTGGAAATCCATCAGTCAGCAGAGGTGCAGGCCATGCTCCTGCTAGGTGCTGGGAAGCTCACAGGTGAACCAGGCTGGCTCTGCCCTCACAGTCTAGTGAGAGACAGGAGACAGGTGACCTCTGGAAGGTTGAGAGTATCAGAATGCTGTGAGCAATGAAGCCAGGGAGATGCATAAAGGGACAAAGAGAGAGTGGTCAGCATAGGCTTCCTGGAGGAGGTGATGAATTAACTAAGGATCCTGAGAGAGAGCAGGAAGAAGAGACGGTTGGAGCAGGGAGTGATGCAGAAAGCTGAAGCTGGTGGGAGCCTGCTTATCTGCTGCCAGTCTGGGAGTATTTTGTGAGTGCAGACTGTAGAAATGGGGGCAAGCAGGTACCAAGTCGGGGTGCCCTGGAGACCAATGAGCTTCCAACAGGAGCTTGCCTACCTCTGTGGCGCCAGAGGTCCCCCCAAGAGATGTGTGGGCCACAGAGAGAAGTCTGAGAAAGAAACTTTCAGGTGTCACCTCGCTGTACAAGCTGAGCCCACTGGCCCTGGGACTCGCTGCATCTGGGGATAATTAGGAATATCAATGTTGAGAAAGAAAAAAAAAAGAAACAAACACTTTGGGAGCTCAAGAACTTTCAATTCTCTGTGTTAAAAATGACTGAGGGGCTGGTGCTGTGGCACAGCAGCGTGCAACACCAACACCTCACACAGGTCCCAGTTCCTGCCGCTCCAGCTCCCTGCTAATGCACCTGGGAAAGCAGCAGAGGATACCCTGAGTCCTCGGGCCCCTGTATCCATGTGGGAGACCTGGAGGAAGTTCCTCTCTCCTGGCTTCAGCCTGGCCAGTCTCAGGAGTTGTGACCATTTGTGGAGTGAAGTGGTGTGTGTGTGTCTACCCCTCTCTGTAACTCTTCCTTTCAAATAAAAATAAAACTTTAAAGAGCAACTGAAAGGACAGCTCATGGAACTGCTGAGACAGCTCCAAAAATAGCGCAGATGACAGGTCACTCCAGAGCTTCTGGCGCACAAGCTGGAAAGAGTTTCCAAGAATTTAGCGGCATGGCTATAATAAAACGACGCCTAATCCCATGCGCTTTAGTTATGAGAACAAACTCTTTCAATGTTTATATCCACACCAGCAAAACAAAACAGGAATAGAGTGGCTGCTGCGTCCCCTCCCATCTGTGACAGTCACCACTGCCATATGAACCAAATACATGATACCTTGACCATCAACCAAATGCAAGAGCCCTGACATGCAGGGTAGCAGGCTTGCATATTCTCCAAGATTGCACTGATAACCCAGGATAAAGAGACATCCCCTAGCAGGGATAGGGCTACCAGGAAGAAGGAAAAAGCTCAGACATTCAACATTGGTGACTGTGCTGGTGGCAGCAAAGTTGGACAGGTGTTCCGGAAAAGCGTTATCGCCTCTCCAGCATAAAAATAGAAAAACAAGGAGGGAGAGAAGTGAAAAGGAAACACAGTTCAAAGGCATCAAGCTGTGGTGCCATTCAGGGACCAGGGATGATGGAGACAGAGCAATTAGAAACAACGGTTTCATGTTCACACAGTAATAGCACTGACGATGCCTGGGCGGTGGCTTCCTTTGCAATGCAAAATTAAACTTGCCCTGAAACATGTCAGCTGCCAACCCCTGCCAGGTGAGGGGGTGTAGAGTTTTCAAAGCTTGTCTGGGGGATGTGAAGTCCCCAGGCTAGAAGACACCTGTTGTGGTGCCCATCTTGGGGTTAAATATCTTCCTCAAAGGACTGGGGATGGGCCGCAGAGGGGTCTGAAGCTGGGAGTGTTAGGAGCAGTTTCCCATCTGAGAGGGCAGGGGCTGGAGAGCTTCAAGTCAAGGGCACTTCTCTTCGACCTGGAGGGTCCACCCTCTGCCCCAGGAACCAGTCCACAGAATCTCCAGGCATATGCATGTAGCACCCCCAGCAGCCCTGCCTAGGGACCCTTATAAGGAATGGGGAAGGGCGCTTAGCTGGAGCTGCTGGAAGCCTATTGTCAGGATGTGTTTCCAAGGCAACAGACACAGGGGTGGAGGGAGAGGCCTAATAGTGTTTTATTTTTTGCATCTGGTAATTTGGGGGAGCAGAGAGGCAGCTCGGGCCACTGCTGCCAATGGCTGCCATGCCACCTTCTGCCACACCCATGCTGTGTATTCCTTGAGAAGCTCTGTGAGAGTAGGGCTCCTGCATGAGGGAAGCTTGGATGCCACTGTCAGCACCAGAATGACTTAGGAGATGTGACCCTGAAATCTTGCCCCTCCCTGTACCCCTGGAAATTTGCTACTCCTGGTGGATCCAGGGTGAGTCATGTAAGCCAAAACTACAGGTAACCCTTGGGGGAGTAGCTAGGACCTGTCTCCGTCTCTCGGCAGACCTTACCCACCCAGTGCAGCCTCAGTGGATCTGGGGGTCAGCAGCAGGTGGATGGGAGGTACAGGGCAGCCCTGGCATAACCAGCAAGCTGTTCACCTGAGCTCAGAGGCATCAAGGATCAATGAGATCAGTAGGAATGTCGAATTCCTCCAAGTAGTTCAGGCTACATATGCCCTTGGCCATGGATCCCCAATGTCCCCGTACAACTTTCCTGGCCTGCACCTGGAGGCAACAGAGCAGCTCCGAGTCCCAGCCCTGGCCTCCGCCAGCCTGCTGTGAGCCTCTGTGCCATGTAGTGGGCATACCCATTCTCTCTGCTTCCACCCCTGCTCACAAGAAGGGCCTGGTCTAGGGGTTTGCAGAGTCTTCTGACTGTGATTTGAAATGCATGCCTAATCTCCCTCAATGTGTCCACCCCTTCCCAGAGCTCAGAAGGCCTGGGCCATCGTGCTGTGGGGACCCAGGCACCCAGGCTCAGGTGTTGGGCCCAGGGCAAGCCCCCGCTCACTAAGCCGGGCACTCACGTGAAGCCAGCGTCCTCGCCCTCCTGTGTCAGGCAGGTCCCACCGTTGCCACAAGGGCTGCTGGAACAGCTGTCCAGGGACACCTCACAGTCTCGGCCCTGGGGGAAAAGTCTGCCATGAGGATTCCAGAGGAGAGATCTGCGGGGTTAGCGTGAGCTACTTTCAGGACAGCCAGCCTCTGGGGGGCTCGGCCTCTCTGTCCCAGGAGCTGCTTGTCGTTCATTCATTAATTCACATGATAGGTCATTGATTTTAGGTTCACACAAATGCCTGCCTGTCTGACACTGCTCTGGCAGGCCCGGAGATAGGTGAGCAAACACAACAGACCCCACCTTGCCCTGTCCTTGGCTGGCCCACAGCACACAAGAGGTGCCCACCTTCTCTGGGCTCAGTCTGCACTCACCTTATAGCTGCTTGGGCAGGTACACCTGTACCCCTCAAGCACGTCATTGTGGCAGGTGCCCTGGTTCTGGCAGGGGCTGGACAAGCAGGGGTCACACTTGGCCTGGATAGCCAGGGTGGGAGGACCTGCGACAAAGGGGCTGTTAGTGCAGTGGCAAGGGCTGGCCACTCCCTCTACTGCCCTGGAGACTCTGTCCCCAGGGTCCTTTGGCCCTCCCTGCGTTTCCTCTGCATCATGGTTAGGCCCTTACACCATCTACCTGTCTGACCCCCAACCTCCTCATCTGCTCACTGGGTTGATTACAGCCCCCGCCACACAGGGCTGAAAGGATCAAAGCAGCAGCCTTGGCCAGTGGGTGCTGTACACATGGCAGTGTGGCCGCTGTCAGTGTGAGACCAGCCTGGCCTCTGGCACTTGTAATCGGTTGACCTTTCCTTTGGCCCTCTTCTGAGACAACCTACCCCATGCTGGCAGTCAGAGCTTTGTGCACTCCTTCAAGTGCCCCACATAGCAGCTGGGATAACAGAAGACACCCCCCACCGCTGGCCCTAGCAGAGGGTGCAGCTAGCCAAGGTACCACCCTGCTATGCGTGGAGGTCCCAGCAGGGGGCGAGAGCCATTGGTCTTGAGTGGCTCCTTTCCAACCTGCCCCAGGGGAAGCTCCGTGCCTGTTGCTCCCTGCCCCAACTGCCAAGGAGGCTGAACAGCCCATGACCAAAGACATTGGGGCCTAACAAGAGAAGGCAGGGAAGCCAGGCCAGCAGACTCAGGCCTCCAGAAGCAGCAAGATGTCTGATTTGCCCACAAGGCCGCAGCACCAACAGGTATGTGGAAAGCTGCCTCCCAGGGATGACAGGCAGAATACAGTGGGCATTTCTGGGGTGCAGGCTGGTTCTCTTGCTTGATGTACGTGGCACTGGCCAATACACCACACTATTGGCTCATGAGGTGCTCATATGCTGGATTTCAACCAAATGTGGAAATCCAGACCCTCTCCCACCAGCACCCACCACAGTCATGTAGTAAACACAGAGCATGTGTTGCTGCTGAACGGTTGTGACAGCATCCTGGCTGCCGGTGGCCCGAGGCCTCATCATTAACCTACAGCTGTCACTTTCATTTCCGATGGTGGCCTCGGAGCTGGTGCAGGGCAGGGGCCGTGGCCCATGGCCCTCCCCGAGGAGTCTCCCGCATGCAAGCTGGGCCACAGGCAGCTCCTCAGCCACTGGGCTCTGCTCTGCATGGCTGCTGGGGGTGGCCCACAGGCCCATCAATCAATCCTTGAACAAGTGTTTACAGATGGCTAAGGGGAGGGGCCTCCAGCAGGTGCCTGTGCTGTGTTCAGCTCTGGTCAGCAAGCTCCAGCAGCAACCTCTGGGCTGTCAGCTCACTGTGCAACACCAGCCCTGAGGGCTCACTCTACCACAAGGCTGGGCACTCCCACCACTATTTTGATTTTTCTTACACAACCACAGGGAGAGATTAAAGCCCCGGAGGCCTGCAATGTCTCTGGCTCTTTTTCCTGTTTCAGCAGGTGCCTCATTCCTGTCACTTGACTCCCCACCCAGCAGTTACAAGGATGCAGGCATGTCTGAAAGGCCCTGCCAGGCTCCAGCAAGCCCTGGGAACCCCAGAAGCCAGAGCTGGGAATCCAAAGGTATCCATTGGCCCCCATCTCTAGTCGCTGCACTCACCTTGGCATTCAAACTTCTTGGCAGGTGTGGTGAGGAGCAGCTTGCCCTCCATGTCCAGGGGCCCAGTGCAGCGGGCAATGCCAGGTTCCTTGTAGCCAGTCTTCACCCAGCTGGAGAGCCAGCGGAGGTGGCAGTCACAGTACAGGGGATTGGCACCAATGGCCCTGGGGCAGAGGCGGAAGACAAGTGGGCATTCCAGCTTCATGCACTCCTGGCATGTGTGGCAAAAGGACCACCAGATCCTGGCCCTGAGGACTTAGTATTTAGCTTGCACATTAGCATTTCTTATGCTGTGTCTCACCTACTTTTCATCACAGCCTGCTCGGCCTAAGAATGTGCATCCAATCCTCTCATTCAATGCAGTTCTCTTTCGTCCACCTCATGGGTGTAGGGACTTGAACCCCAAAAGGAACTAGCAATTTCCATGGGGCTGCATGGCTTCCACACTCAGAGCCATCTGCCTCCACTGCCCATACCTTGGCACTCTTCTTTATTTTTTTTTAAAGATTTTAATTTTTTAAATTTTACTTGAAAATCAGAATTATAGAGAAAAGGAAAGACAGAGATCTTCCTTTCACTGGTTTACTTCTCAAATGGCAGCTACGGCCAGAGCTGGGCTGGATCCAAAGCTGAGAGCTAGGAGCTTTTCCCAGATCTTCCATGTGGATGCAGAAGCCCACGGACTTGAATTATCCTTTACTGCTTCCCCAGGCCATTAGCAAGGAGCTGGATTGGAAGTGGAGCAGCCACGATTCAAACTGGGATTCATATGGGATGCTAGTGCCACAGGCAGGGGATTAGCCTGCTATGCACCATGCTGGTCTTGCTTCTTTTCATTTTTAATTCACTCCAAGCAGCGTGCTGCTTGGCCCCAGAGAGCAATCTCAGAAATTGTCCTCAGTGGATCCATCCCACCACGTTAGAATGCATCACAGCATCCCATAGCAGAACACCCTGGGGCCCAGGCAGAACGTTTCCTGCTGCTGGCTCTCTGGCGGGCTCTGACCCAGTGCTCTCTTTCAGATGTGCCTCTTCTGGAGGGCTGAGCATCTCCAGGACAAATGCCCAGACGAGGCCTTCAGGGACAGGCAAAGGCCCCCACCTCCATCCCGGGAGGTAGTGCCGACCTGTCCTGGCCAGTACTGTGCAGCCATGTCTATTCTCTATCCTCTGTACCAACTCTGGCTGCCACAAACCACTTACTGTGTTTTTGGGCAAGTTCAGAATCTTTTCACTAAACCACACTGAGACACACAGAGAGATGGACAAGACGTGGATCCAGGGAAGAACAGGACCAGAATTCTTGGGATCAGGAAAACAGAAAAGTCAGTGCCTTGTGCCTGAGCTCAGCAGTGCCAACACTACTTTGCAGGCTGTGTGGTGTGAGCGTGAGTGGACATGTGCGTTAAGTGGCCAGTGGCTGCTGTGTGACTCCTCTGTGCTGTGGGCTGTGCGGAGGAAGGGGTCCCCGGGGAGAGATGCACCACTTGCTACAATTCAGCAGCTTTCAACAGGAATTCTCCAGAACAGGTCTGTTGCCTCTGTGCAACCTTGTAAAGCCTAGAAGACACCAGGCCCTTGAGGCTGTTCTTTGCCCACTCACCTGCTCAGGGTTTCTTGTGTGATTGAAAAAAGAGCCTGCACCCCAGAAGGGGAAGAGAGACCTGCACAGGTAACCTACAAGGGACACCCAGGGAATAACATGGCAGAAGGCAGCAGGCGCGGCCCAGATCAAATGCTCTCCTCCCCTCATTGCTGCTGGCCTCCCTCCTGGCTAACGGGATGGGCAAGACCCTTCCCCTGTCATTAACCAGCACCAAGACCCACAGGCAGAGAAGGAGGTTGAATGTTCTGTTTTGAGACTCTACTTTGTCAAATAAAACACAAAGGCATTTACAGCAAGCTGGAATCCACAAATGGTGGTATATTTAAAGTGTTTGCATTTATTGCGCTAATTTTTTTTGTATTCATAACAAGTGGGATGTAACATCATTCTATTTTTCAAAAGTTAGAAGCAGAATTTATTTAAATACTATTTATTAAAATACTATGAGGCGTGTGGTATGCTAAGGAGCCATGATTTATGCATTTATTAGAAATGGCTCCTCCTCCAAGCCCTGTAACTCATTCTTAGAAGTGGCAGAAAGACTGTCTGTTGCACATGTGGTGAGGGGGCCTCATCATGTCAGGAACATCAGGGATTCCTACACAGAGCAGATGTAGCCCCATAGGTGGTAGTGAAAGTGGACCACAAATCTATGTGTCCCTCCTAGTCTCTTAACAATAATAACGAAGGGACCAAAGGCCTGTCAAGAAGTACACCTGGCTGAAGCCACTGATGCTCTTGTTTTCATGTCAAGCAGGTGCTGACTTGCACCTGAATTCAACATGCCAAGCTCTTACACAAAAGCTTAATTTTCACCTCTGAGAACCATCTGCCCCTCTCTGGTAGTGTTTGTGGCTCACTTTCCCAAGAACGTTGCTAGAAACTTGGTAGCAAGTAGCAAGCCACAGGTCCAGCAGAGAGGCAGTGGGCAGGGGCGGGGTGAGGGCAGCAGCCTGGCCACTTACACAACTGAAAGGCCTGGGTTCAGGTGCATGTTCCAGCAATGGTGCAAAAAACTCTATGCTGCTGATCTCTGCTACAACTTGGAAATGTTTGGAACAGTAGTCTTTGGGTCAGCTCATGCCCAGACTCTGTTAACGGAACTTGGACTGAGATAGCCTGTTAGGCTAGTCTGGGAGGTCAGCAACCCTGAAACCTCTCCAGGCAGTCTTTCTGTGTGCAGTGCCATCTCTTTCTCCAGGACTTGAACGCAGTAAAGGCCGCTCCATACAGGCAAGAATCACTAAAGCCTGAGCTGTGTCGAATACCAGCAGGCAGTAGGAGACATCGGCTGAGTGAATGCCTGCCTCAATGCACAAGAAAGGCACAAAACACAGGGCACAGGAAATCCAAAAGGAAAAGGATCAGCTCTCATTTCATAAATGTAACTAATTAAATTTTAGTGAATTCTCTTGTGTTTCTTATATACATATTTGCACATCAATAAAATTAGAGAGTATCATTTTCTTATTCTTTATCTGCAACAAATAACAAATTACAGGGTCCCTAATAGTCATCAGTACTAATTACTTGCTATTGCAACCTATGGGAATAGCACAATTTACTTAATCATGTCATATTTACCTTTCTCGCCTGATTCTTAATGAATCTGGAAACCTAGCACAGATCAGAGCCAACACAAATACTCAATTATAACCATGAAGAATAATATTGGGGAGCCTTCACACAGGATCTGCCACATGATAGGTATTCCCTGAAGGTGAATGGAAGGATAGAGGGATGGATGGTTGAATTATAGAACAGATAGATGGAGGGGGGATGGGATGGATGGATAGATGGATGGATGGGCGGACAGGTAAAAGATGGACTAACTTCAAAATAAACAAAAATAAACAAGAGCATCTAATTGATAGTGAGATGCCTTGTTCCACAGTCCACTTTGGTGTGTTTCTTGGTCAGTTGGGCCTGGCCTCAGAACTGAGGTCATTTTCTCCAAAAGAAAGTCTGAATTTGGACCCGGTACAATGGCCTAGTGGCTAAAGTCCTCGCCTTGAACACGCTGGGATCCCATATGGGTGCCGGTGCTAATCCTGGCACTCCACTTCCCATCCAGCTCCCTGCTTGTGGCCTGGGAAAGCAGCTGAGGACGGCCCAAAGCCTTGGGACCCTGCACCCGTGTGGGAGACCTGGAAGAGGTCCTGGCTCCTGGCTTCGGATGGGCACAGCAGCAGCCATTGTAGTTACCTGGGGAGTGAATCATTGGATGCAAGATCTTCCTCTCTGTTTCTTCTCCTCTATGTATATCTGACTTTGCAATAAAAATAAAATAAACCTTTTTTTTTTTTTAAAAAAAGAAAGTCTGAATTTATAGATAAATGTAGTCATAATACTTAGTTTTGCAGTTTTAATTAATATTCGAAATGTATGTTGTTGATGTCCACTGAAAAATAACACTTCTAGATTCTGAGCTGGAGACAAGCTCAGCATGGACTCGAGGGTTGCTCACTCCTCATGGGATCGGAGGGCAGGAAGGCTACTGCACACAAATCCAGATGTAAGTGCTGGAGTACAGGGGTCCCCAGGGTGCTTGCTTGGCTGGTCTGGCCAAGGGTAGAGCTGAAGCTGACACCTGGCGGCAACACCTGCCTCTGCAAGAGAGCCCGTGGGTCCCAGGACAGCAGCAGCTAAGCTCTCCAGCTCATGGCCCCAGAATCCCTAGAGGTTCACAGCAACAAAAAAGAGATTACAACACCCCAAACTACCATGCATGGGTGGAAATGAGCTCTCCTGTATCCAGGTTGGCAGGAAGAGTGAACAACCGAGGTACTGCCTGCCTTCCCCTCCTTATCCAAAAGGCAAACTCTTCATCCTGCTTTAGGAGCGGCAAGACAGTATCACCTCTGTGACAGTAAATTCTCCTACACTTGACTCACTCTGGTTACCCAGCATGTATTTATTGAGGCAATAAAGGACAAATAGCGAGCTTTGGAATCAGACACACCTAAGTTTAAATCCTGTCTTTGTCATAATCTAGCTTTATGACCCAGAGAAGCTGCTTAGCTATTCAGAACCTGAAACTGGAAAGTAGAAAAAACAAATCCTACCATCTACCCCTCCCATGTGCACGACAGACACGGTTAGTTGATTACTGCACTCTACCCCGAGTCCAAACTGGCCCTGACGTCTTCAGCGCAGCACTCGAGGCACTTCCTACCCATCGCAGGGAGCTGACACATCACAAAACACTTACGTCCCATTTCAGTCAGAGTAAATGAGTCACCATAAAGCACACAACTTGGTATTTGACTAGAGCAGATCTTCCAAGAGTGACACCCTACTGGTTTATTTCCTCCTAAAGATGTTAGATGCAGGACTTACGTACTGAGCTTTGGGAGGGGTGGAAAGAGATTACCATATCAAATGCACCTAGCATTTTGAAATATATTCTGATCTTGGAGATTAAAATGTGAAGGGTGACATTTGATGCAGCCTTTAAGTTACTGCTTGGGATGCCCACATCCTGCATCAGAGTGCCCGGTGCGAGCCCTGCCTCTGCTTCACCTACGGCTTCCTGCCAATGCGCACCCTGGGAGGTGGCTCAAGTATCTGAGCTCCTGTCACCCAGCGAGTGAGAGATCCCAGTGGAGCCCAGGGCTCCTGGCCTTAGCCTGGCCCAAGCCATGGATACAAGCCCTCTCTCTGGTTGGCCCTCCATCTCTGTCTCTGCCTTTCAAATAAAATAAATAATAACAATAATAAAGAAGCGACCACTTGCTTGAATAACATGGAAAAGATGAGTGTTAGCAAGTTTAGTGAAATGACTGAGTGAAGAAACTTACAGAAGAGACACTGAAGAGCCTGGATAGCTCTCTGACCCAGGTCTGCCTGTCCACTCAGCCTTGCAGCCTAGGCGTGAGGCAGGGGCAAAAGGATCCTCCCTGCCAGGGTTCGAGGAGGCACCATGCATGCAGCCCACAGACCACACACATGATCTTGGCCAGTAGCACCAAGAGACGCCAGGAAAGAAAGTGTTGCTACACCCAGTCCAACCTCCGAACTCAGGCTGGTCCTGCCACCTCCCAGCACTGCATTTATCTCACCAATTCTTAAAGATAAAACTCACCATTGTCACCACCGTAAGTGTATAACTCAGTGGCAATGGCTACAAAATGCTGAGCAAACATTACCCTGCTTTATTTCCAAAACTTCTTCATCACCCCGACCAGAAGCTCGCTATCTTGACACCTCACTCCCCCTTGTCCCCAGCAACCATCACCCCACTTCCTACCTCGCTGGCTTTGACTGCTCTGCCTGATCAGACAGATTAGTGAAACTGTACACTATGCATCCTTCTGTGTCTGGCTCCTCTCACTTAGCATACATCCTCAGAATTCATCCATGCTACAGCATGTGCCAGAACAACTGACAGCCCGCTGTCTGGCTGTCCCATATTCTGCTTATCCTATCAACTGATGGATACAAGTTAGAATACTGTAAATAATGCTGTGATGATGGGGCTAGCACTGAAACAGCTTCCTGCAGTGCCAGCATCTCATATGGCTACTGGTTCAAATCCTGGCTGCTCCACTTTCAATCCAGCCCCCTACTGATGCGGTGGAAGATACCTCAAGTCCTCGGGCCCCTGCACCCACATGGGAGACACAAAAGAGGCTCAAGGTTCTTGATTTCAGTTTAGCCTAGCTCTGACTCATGCGGCCATTTGAGGAGTGAACCAGCATGTGGAAGAGATCTCTCTATGTTCTTGTCCTCTCCCTAACCTTGCCTTTCAAATGAAATTAAACAAAGTTTTTTTTTTTTCTAATCATGTTGTGATGAACAGTAGGGCACAGTGCTTTCAGTTCTTTAGAGTAAAGCCGGACATGGAAGTGCTGGATTCCAACTTTAGTTCTGTGATGAATCAAGTCTCCTGTTTTCAAAGAAGCCTCGTGGCACTACCAGCTAATTGGTCTGGCCAGCAAGTCTATATTAGGCATATCACCTCCGGGAGGTAGCAAGTTCTGGAGTCTGTCCCCCACAGGTGAAGTCAGGGGCATGTGTGACCAGAGTTCACCACCTGCCATTGACCAGGTATGTGACTGCAGCCCAGCTCCTCTCTCCCTCTGCTGTGCAAAATGAGGACAGTAGCCATGCTGAAGGCTCAGGGGGGCGTGCTCCATGGCTGATACCTGTGAGGTGTTTGGTAAGTATTCAATGGCCACTGCCACTTTGTACTGTGGTGACAAGCCACTCTCCTACAGTACTGCTTGAGCTGGTGACCCACCCAAGGGGTGAGGGTTGACAAAGTGCACGTGGGAAGTCCCCGAGCTGACTCTTAGCATAAGGCAACAAGAGTCCAGACAGTGGAAACAGGGTTGTCCTGCCAGTGCAAGTGCTGTTCATAGCCAGAGCTACTTACAGGTGAGACAGGGAGGTCACATCCGTGAAGGTGCCTTCCTGGAGGGTGGAGACATCGTTGCCATGGAGGGACCTGAGGGAGAAGGGGCTGATAAGAGCTGCTCGAGACAGGGATGGAGCCCTGACACAGGGCAGGCCCCTCTTGCCTTACCAACCCTGCTATGGGTAGGGAGGTTGGTGCAAGGAGGAGAAAGCAGGCCTGCATCACATGGGGGACAGCCTCCTGTTTCTATGGCCTCCAGGAGGGCTGTCTCAACCACGGTCATGAACTCAAACCCCACATTTTCAATTGCATCACAGACGGTTGCCTGAACCTGAGCCTTTTTTCCCTTCTCCAGCAAGCCAGGCTGCGGGGTCAGTAGGTAGGGTACAGGGAAGAAGATTTAGGCCACCTCACCCTGGGGGATTGGCATGGCCATCACAGACAGAACAGGTTTCCATGGCGAGGCAAAATCTCATGCAGAAATTCCTGGAGATGGCTCATCATCTCCAACAGACACCATTTGTTACCTGAATGCAAGTCTCATATGCAAATGAAGGGCTGTCTTAGCTTGACTAGGCCCCCACCCCTTACACACAGACACACACACACACGCACACGCACACGCACACACACACCCATCACAAACTCTCTTGGATCTTTCCCCATTTATCACTCAGCTTCTATAAAGGGTGGGAATGACAGCATCTGGTCTCCTGACATTGGACAAATACTGTTCCTTTGACAGGCGGCAGGGTCCTGGGTGGGGTGGATTTTCCTGAGGTACTTACAGCAGACGCAGGGACCGGAGCCCTTGGAAGGCCAGCAGAGGGATACACCTCAAGGCATTGTAGCTGAGGATCCTGAGAGAGGGAGGAATGGAAGCAGACAGCCCCTTGTAACAGCCCCCCTGCCTGCAGGGGCAGCAAACAGGACACAGAGGGGCCTCGGAATGCAGCAGCAGAGTAGTATCACCCAGGAGAGCCTCCCAGCACGGGGCCAGGCCCTACAGGAGCCCTCCACGTGGGCTTCTTGCCGGGGCTGTGATGAAGGACATTCAGCTCAGACCCAGGCAACTTCCCTGCGATCACCTGGCCAGCAGCTGGGGGGTTCAGGGCCACCACTCTGACCATGGTGACACTTTCTGGCATGTGCTTTCATCTCCCCAGGGCAGGACTGCCTTGCCTGGGACCTGTCACCCTCAACACTCTGGATACTCCCTGGGGTGGGGACTGCCCTTGTCTGAGAAACATTCAGCTGGCTCTCTGGACTTGGCCCACTGCACACGAGTAGCACGCCTCCTCCAAGTGGGAACAGTCAAAACTGTGCCTACTGTCTCTTGTAGGTCAGATAGAACACGCCTGGGGTCCCATCACGGTGAGATGTCACCAAGGAGGACCAGTGGAGTCTCTGGATGACACAAGGACTGGGAAACAGGAGGTAGCTCAAGGGCAGCTTCTGTGCTCAAAAATGTAGGTCAAGAATTCCCCTGCCTGAGCCCACATTCTGCTCCTGGAGACTGGAGCAGCAGCCAATGTCAGGGCCATGCTTTTCGAGGTGCTAGCTCTACTGGGCCATGCTAGAATCTGGTTCTGTTAGTTTCAGGTAAGTTATGTACAAAACAAGCTGTTTGAGAAAATGCCCAGAATTATAGTTACACTTAGAACTTCTGAATTTTGGAGGACTGATATCATGGTATAGTAGGTTAAGCAACCACCCACAGTGCCAGCATCCCATATGGGTGCTGGTTTGTGTCCTGGCTGCTTCAATTCCCATCCGACTCCTTGCTTATGGCCTGGGAGAGCAATGAAGTATGGTCCAGGACCATGGGACCCTACATAGGAAACCCAGAGGAAAATCCTGACTCTTGGGTTTGGATTAATCCACCTCTGGCCATTGTGGTTATTTGCAGGAGTGAACCAGCAGATGGGACATCTCTCTGTAACTCTGCCTCTCAAATAAATAAATAATTTCTGACTCATTAATGACAGGTGGAGGGATTTAGGGTGCTCAGAGCCCAGGTACATACACCTGTGCTGGCTTCATGATGGTTTGTTGTCTGTGCATATACTTGACACCATTTCTTGCCACTTTCGTGTTTACATAATGAAAGACATTTTCTAAAAGCCTTTTAGGCTCATGGATCTGGCCCACTCTCCAGAGAGCAAGGGCATCTGCTGGCCGCCCCAGGGTGTGATCAGGGTCTCAGCAGCCACGCCCCCTCCCTGCCCACCTCTGCAGGACTCACAGAGTGGTCAGCTGGCTCATGTTGGTGAAGGAGGAATTGCTCAGCGAACTGATCTTGTTGTTGCTCAGGTCCCTGGAATAGACAAGAGCAGTGGGGGTCAGAGAATAGCAACTCCACCTGCCCACCGACAAGGCTCCATCTGCTCTGGGGGGAGGGGTGAGGAGCAGGGGAGGGCACTCAACCCCCTGAATCCCTCTGCCTCACCCCATACTCTGCCAGTGGAGCTGTCCTCACCCTCTGCACCACTGACCCACTCTCCACAAGGCTCACAGTGGAGGGCTTCCTTGGACTCTGATGATCCTGTGAGTGTGTGCGGAACCCCATGTTCCCAACTGACACCCAAAGTCTTGGAGTAGCGAAGGAACTGCCCCTGCAGCTTCCAGCCCCAGGTCCCAGCCCTGGACACAGCCCTTGCCTGGACTCGCTGCACCCTGTCTCTCAGCCCCCATGCCCTTCACTCCACAGCACACACGTCTGCCCTGCTGCCTGGCTTTGCTGCTTTCTGTTCTGACAGGCTGGGAGCTGGGGGCTGGGGGCAAGGCCTGTCCCCGCAGTCCTTGCCCACTCAGATCTCTCCTGGATGCTCCTGTGCCGACAGGGCCAGAACCATGGTCCAGCGTGACGTTCCTCAGAGTCTCGGAACTCCCCACTGAGTGGTGACCCACACTCAGCAGACATGGCCATGCCTTGGCCTCCAGGCTCCAATAACCCCTGGACACAGCCCTCCCACATCCCATGCCATTCATCTGATCAGTCCTGGCTGGTGTCTTTCAGCACCTCTCACACTTGCCCCACCTCTGTCCAGCTGACATTCTCTCCCTGGTTCCTACAGCACACTCTAACCTCACCTTCCACGAGGAATGGGTGGGCGCCACCACAAGCTTTCTAAAGCCACAGCAGCTCCTGTCCCATTATAGGGCAATCTGCAAGGCATGGAGACCAGCCACCTGCAGGTGCTCCAGGCTCTCCTGATCTTCAGGCCTCACAGGCTGCGAGTTTATTCTGTTGTGGCATTCTCGGAACATCCCACAGCTCCGTGTCCTGGAAGTTTAGGGTCCCTGCCCGCTGGGTAACACTGCCCTGTTTTCCACATGCTGCTCTCCAGAGCCCATCCTTAGGCACTGCCGCCTCCCCTGGGCCACGGCCTCCTCTGCATGGCTCTGGTGACTCTGCTTGCTCCATGACTCTTTGTGTCCCCCATTTCTCTCCCGCACCCTCGGGAAACAGGCACCCTGGGGGACGGCTCAGGTCTCGGATCTTCCTGTCAGCCCCGCCCACACGGCGCTTGACTCCGGAATGTTGAGTCGTGACACGGCGTGCCCCGCCCTCCTCTCCTAGTCAGCTTTGCTGCCCTGCCTTCTCCCACTCAAGACCACTCCACGGCGCTCAGAGACGTGCACAGGTGCTTCAGTGGGTATCAGTGCCCTCTGTGGCCCCTTATGACCAGGAGGTGGCGCCACAGCGAGAACGGATGACCTGGGACCTCCTTTCTCCGTTCCTCCACGTTCAGCAGGTGCATCCGATCCAGAGTGCAGCTGCCGCCCGTGAGAGACTGGGAAACGGGCAGAATTCTGTCCCAGATTCTGTGCTAGCAAGGATAACTACCATCAGCAAGAATCATCAGCTCCACAGAGGGTTGGGGAGATGGCTGTGGGAGTTGCTGTGGGCACACGTCTGTGCCACACAATGGGGCTGGAACGGTGCGATTCCCAGCAGGGCCACTAGATGGCAAAAAGCGCTGCGGTTGGGCTCTCCTTCAAGGAAGGGGTGGGTAGACAAAAACAGGATCCAATCGGGAAAGCTGGCCTCTCTGGTCAAGTGCCAGTAGCACCCTCCTCTGGACAGGTCTGGATACTCACACGAGCTGCAGGTACTTGAAGGTAGACAGCTGGCCTGGAACCTGGGTGAACTGGTTCCCATCCAAATACCTACAGAGCGAACACAGCTGGGTTAGTGCCCCTGGCAGTACCCCATCCCTGGGCAGAGCCTTCCCGGAGCCAGGCCTTTCTCACTCATTTTCCCTCCCTTGTGCAGATGCACACATTGTCAGAAAATACATGATGCTCATTGTTGAGGCCATTTGAGGAGCCACCCAAACAACCTGAATGCCACTGCAAGGGTGAGCACTTGGACCCAGTGCCAGGTTCCTGTCTGGTTCCCACTCCTCCGATTCAGCTTTCTGCTAATGCCCACCCTGGGAGGCAGCAGTGGTGGCTCTAGTACAAGGGTCCCTGCCACCCACATGGGAGAGTCAGACTGAATTCCAGGCTCCTAGTTTGACTCGACCCAGGCATGGCTGCTGCATCCATTGAAGAGTGAATCTGTGGACAGAGATCTCTCTGTCTCCTGTTGCCTCTCAAGAAGAAAGAGAGAAAGAGAAAGGAAGAAAAAAAGAAAAGGAAAGGAAAGAGAAGAGAGGAAGAGGAAAAGAAAGAAAAGGAAAAAAAGCAGAAAGCTACTGACCTGCAGTCTTTCCAAACTTACCCAGCCTCTCTCTGATCCGATGTTCCTCCCTCCGGGTACCCCTCGCTCCAGGTGCCCCTCCCTCCAGACATGGCTCTTTCTGGCCACAGAGACCTGATTTGCAGGCCTTAGGTTCCCTGTTATCTCCTTCCCAGCCACTGAGGCCTGTCTGACCCCAGAGGCTGGCATGCTGTCCCTGCCTTGCAAACCACAAACCCAAACATGTCCAAAGCAGCTTGCACTTATGCCCTCTGCCTGAACTCTTGCAGGGACCACCTCCCAGCAGCAGGGCACTCACTACAGGCTCCTCGCACCCACCAGCCCTTCTCCTGCACTCTGGTTCCACTCTCCCTAACCCTCCACACTGTACCTGGCCACCCACACCTAACCCCCTGCAAGAATCTCCTCCCTCTCTCCCCACCTGTGCCTCCCTGCTGGCCATCCTGGTCCAAGCCCACACCCCATTCTCCAGAGCCTGGAGCTGCCCCAGGCTCCACCCCATAGGCCAGTGCTTGTGAAACAAGAAGCTTCAGATCCCCCATGTCCCTCCCTCATCAATACTCCTTGGCTTTAGCCTGCAGGTGGCCCAGCAGTGATCCAAATGCCAGGAGCGGGAGCCCCAGCTGGGACCTCACTACCTGTAGCCCTCAGGAGGGTTCTCCCAGTTTGCTAAAGACCCTGAGCTTTTCCAGGGTGCCCAGGAGGCCAAAGGCAGGGTGACCCTAGGACACAGGACAGTTCAGTTGAATGTAGGTCTGCCTCAGGGCCATGGATGGCAGCAAGACTGAGGAAAACCAACAGTGGGTCCACGGAAGAGCAGTACCTTGCTCATCCAAGGAGCCGCTTGCATGACAACTGTCACAACACACAGGAATTACTCATGTTAAGCTTCATTAAGTGGAAAAAGTAAAGTCACTTCTTATTTCACAGGCAGCGCTTAAAGGGATGGCTTTGGGGACATGTTGGCAGACAGGAAGATAAGGAGAAGTCCAGATGTGGCGGGAGGCCCCAAGCTACTCACAGTTCTGTGACATTCTTGGGGATGCCCCTAGGCAAAGTCCGCAGGTGCTTGTTGCTGCATCGTACCACGGTGTCCAGGCAAGCGCACTCCTGGGGGCACTGCGGGCGGGGCAGGCAGCCGCCTTCCTCCTGGCCTGGAGAGAAGGCACCGTGTCCCAGTTAGGGAGAGGCAGGTGCCTTCTGAGGGCCTCTTGTACCCAGGGCCCTCCATTCAGAGGTTCCTCTCTGACAACACCTTGGCCTCCGCAGTGCCCAGCCCCCAGGAGTAGGGCCCTGCGGGGGACAGAGCAAGGTGGAGCTGGACAGTCACCCCCATTCTGGCACATTCAGCCCTGCCAGATGTGGGACTCCCTGCAGCACCTAGCAGTGTGGCAAAGGGGGCAAGCACCATGGAGATGGAGACTGGTGCCCTTTTCTCTTCCTGCTCACGGGTGAAGTCCAGCCCTGTGCAGTGCCTGGCACATAGCAGCTGTCAGATGGAGGAGCTGAGGGGTGGGTGCTCGGCCTCATGAGGCAGATGCCTGCACACCGGGTTGGAGTGCTCCAGCTCTTGACCCCAGCTCTCGGTTAGTGCAGACCCTGGCAGGCAGCAGTGCTGGCTCAGCTGCAGGAGCTCTCTTCAGCCATGGGCGAGCTGGACGGAATTCCTGACTCCAAGCTTCTGCCCCAGCTTTGCCCCAACCACTTCAGGCATTGGGAGGTTAACCAATGGAGGAAAGCATGCTCTCTCCCTCTCTCAAATTAATTGAATAATTACAAAGGGAGAATAGGGCTAGGAGAATAAATTTCATTGGTGTGAGATCCAAGGGGCCCCCCAACTGGCTCAGCTGGCTCAGCTGGGCTGAGGCCAACACAGGCAGAGGTTTGCCACCTGTGGCTGCTGGCAAGTCTGAGCTCTGGCTTCCATCTGCCCTTCATTCATTCGTTATTTAATATGGATGACTGCACTGCCCCTGTGATCTCTCCTGATTCTGCTTGGGATCTAGGGTTAACAAAGATTTGGAGGACACTGGCAGGGAGGCTGCACACACTCCCTGGGGATGGCGGTTATCAGGGAGGGAGGGCTGCCACATGCAGGCACTGATTCCCAACATCTCTCCCCAGGGTGTGCTACTATGAGCCCATTATAGAGACAAGAAGACTGAGGGCAAAGTGGTTAAGTAGCTTGCCCAAAGTCTCCCAGCCTAGAAGAGGTGACACCAGGAGTGGAATCCAAGTGGGCCACCTGCCTTCTTGACCACACGGCCCTACTACATCTTGGCAACAACTAAGCCAGAAACTGGCACATCAGCATAGTGTGGCCAGGCCAGTTACCAACACTGGCGGACAAGCCTGGCAGCTAAGGGCACAAGTGTAAAACAACAACACAGGCCACCACACAGTGGTTCACCAGGTTACATGTTTTCCCCAGGCAGTCCTGCAAGATCTTACACCTGTCTTCCATATGCACAGAGACACACAGCAGGGCCCCAGGAAGCACACAGTAGGGAATGGACAGGTGCCATCCAAGTGAGGCTGGGAGGTGGGCATCGCTGTGAGCCTGTATTCTGCCTCCTGAATTCTGGACTGCCATCCCTGTTGCTGTTTTTAAGGAATGAGGATACATTGCTTTTGTAACAGAAAATTACAAATAATCTTTTTGGGGGGTGGTGGAAATTAGTGCTTTCAGAGAAACCATGAAAAAATGCCAGAATAACAGTTAATTTTGAAAATGCTGAATTAAAAAAAGTTACTGGAGCTGGTATTGTGACAATGCAACAAAGGTCAAACTGCCTCCTGCAGTGCCAGCTTCCCATAGGGGCATGGTTCCTGTCTGACCCAGGTCTCTGTTAACACACCAGGAAAGCAGTGGGTGGATGCCTCAAGTGTTTGGGTCCCTATACTATGTTGGAGATTTTGGTGGAGTACCAGGCTGTTGGCCCGCTCTCAGACACTGCGGGCATTTGGAAAGTGAATCGGCAGCTGGAAGTGTCTCTGTCTCTCTCTCTCTCTCTCTGTTAAGTGTGCTTAAAATATGGATATGAGATTTGCATATGAGATTTTACAGTGACTTTATTGTTTTAAATTTTAGAAGTCAGGAGCACTTGCTCTTAGGGAAGCTGCAGGCCTCACTCGGGAGACTAGCTGTGCAGGTGGAAGCTGCCCCTCGATCACTCCCGTCTCCACACCGGCTAGAAGCAGAGATGGAGGGCCATTGGGCAGAGAACCCACAGAGCCTGGGGCACAGGTGACCACCTCTGGGAATGTGCCTCTGGTGATCTCCTGGCACATGCAGGATAGGGTCACCCAAGAGTCTGGAGGGCTCAGGGCACTGGGCTAAGAGTCCTATAAAACAAGAGACTAACATGGGACCAGTACCATTCTCTGTGATGACATGATCAGCCGCTGCTTTCCCTCCTCTCACCCACGCTTCCCAGCTTTCTGGCCCTACGTGCATTCTCATCCTGACCACGCAGCTCCAGGCAGGGCTGCCTCCCCATCCTCCCACCACAGGGTGCTGCCACCCACTCCGCACCACCCCCAACCTGTCCCTGAAGTCACCCCACCAAATCACCTTCCTCACACCGGAAGTCAGGGAAAGCCACGTCCTGCAGTGGAATCTGCCGCAGGAAGTCAGGGTTCTGGCAGCGCGGGTTGCCCGTCACGATCTTTCTCTTGCGCAGCCAGTCACCCAGCCAGGCCAGCTGGCAGTTGCAGTTGAAAGGATTGGCCAGGAGATTGCTGGGGGAGGCAGGTGGTGAAAGGTGAGGACCCCAGTCCAGCACTCTCCTGACCACCCCTTGCCACCTGCCTAGCACTGCTCTTGCCCTGCTAGTGGCCACTGTCGAGACAACAGGCTCTTGGGGACCAAGGTGCAATGCAGAAGAGGTATAAGTGAAGTTCAACAAACCATGAGGCCCCAAGCTTTCACGGCATGGGCTCATCTAAGAAGCATCCCCCACCCGCGACCCCGGGGACAACAGGTGGAGTGCCTGCACTCACAGTGTGGACAGGGCCTGCAGGGTGTCAAAGGCACCGGGCGAGATGGTGGTGATGTGGTTGTCATACAGCGACAGCAGGCGCACGTTGCGCAGTCCCGTGAAGCTGTCATTGTGGATGCAGCTGATGCGATTGTTCCGCAGCATCCTGTGGGGAGGGACCAATCGTGAGGCACTCAGGCACCCAGCCCGACCCAACGGAGAGGCACCACCACCGCGACCCTGCACCCCTCTGTGCCTGTCTCCAGGACACACTCCACTGGGTGCCCAGGAGATGTTCCCCAACCCTCAGCTAGGCCATGTCGCCCTCCAGCCTCAAGCCTGCCGTTGGCGCCCAGGTCTCACACAGAATCACGTCCACAGTCTGCACCATGGCTTGCAGCTGCAGCTGTGAGAGATTCAGCCCCCTTCAGCCTGCCTGCCCCAGCTACAGGGCCTTCCCTCTGCGTCACTACTGAATGGCCACTGGCTGTCCTCTAAAATCCTGTTCAGTTCCTCTCCCCCAAAAGCTAAAGCCAAATCCAACACACAGGGCAGCTCTGGAGGGAAATACATGCGGTTGGTGAGCACACAGCATGTTCCTGCTCACTAGCAATCAGGCACATATAAGTAATGTTGAATTTTTGCTCGCCAAAACACAGTGATGATGGTAACAGTCACATCAGGGTTGGCACACGTGTGGGTGGATGAGTGCCTCCACACAGCCTGGGGCACCAGGCACCCAAGTCCCTAAAATGGTGCTGAAGCTGCCATCCACTGCTCTACCCTGAGGTTCAGCGTGAGGGAACACCGTGGGTGTGCACAGCATGCTTCAAACACAACTCAGTTTCTCGTAACTATGTAGCAGTCATTGAAAAGGGGGTGAAGCACGGCAGTATGACATGGAAAGGTATTCACATGATGTTGACAGGTTACTAAGCACAGTTTGTTAAAGGACCCCACTAAAATAAACTCGTATTTCACCTATGGGAGACAATTCCTGTCACTCTTAAGAACAGTGGTAATAATAGATGAGGGGTGGGAGTAAACTTTCACAGGAGGTAGATAGTATTTTGGGGTGGTGAGATTCCGGGGGAAAATCCCTTCAAGGGTACTTATTTGCGAGGCAGGCAGAACACCCATCTGCTGACTCGCTCCTTACATGCCTGCTGTTGCTGGGACTGTCTGGGCCCAAGGCAGGAGCTGGGTGCTCCATCAGCACTCCCACGCTGGAGGAGGAACCTGCACACGTGAGCCCTCCCTCACTGCTGCCCCCAGGGTCTGCACTGGCAGGAACCTGGGATCAGGAGCCAGAACCAAACGGTCCGGCATGAGCTGTAGGCTGCTCTCTGGCTGCCCACCTGCCCAGGGACGGGGTTTAGGACATGGACTGCAGTGATGATCTCATAGAGGCAAGAGGTCTTCAAAAAGTTCACGAGAAAAGCAGATATGAAAAATTATATATGAATTTCAATTTTTTGCACCAAAATTAACATTTAAAAAAAAATATTGATTGACTTCCTTGAAAGGCAGAGTGACATAAAGGTAGCTTGATCTAACTTCCTTTTGCTCCCTAAATGGTTGCAAAAGCCAGGACTGGGCCAGGCTGAAGCCAGGAGCCAGGAATTCCATCCTGACCTGTCACACTGGTGGAGGGAGCCCAAGCACTTGGGCCCTCTCCCTCTGTCTTCCTAGCTAAGAAGCTAGACTAGGTAAGAAGCTAGACTGGAAGTATAGCAGCTGGAACTCAGTGTCTGCGTTGCACAGTGGCTGAACCTGCTTAACTTAACTTTGGATTTCATTTCCCTCACACCTTTGAGGCACCCTGATATGTGCAGGTACACAGATCCATGCATCTGTGTATTCACCACACCAGCCAAACTCCACCGAGGTCAGCTCACACATTCGTGTGTCTGCCTCGGCTTCAATGGCCTGTGCTCAGAAAGCAAATCTACACCCTGCCGCAGTGCTAGCATTTCATCCCAGGCAGGGGCTTGTGAGAGCAGCAGTGGCTGCCACCCACGAGCAGCTACTTAGATTTTAAACAATCAAATGGCTCCTGGATTGGGCTGCATGGACACAGGACATCCCCACTGCCACAGGAGTCCCATGGTACAGAGGGAAACTTATCCAGCAAAAGCCAAAGCCCACAGGTTCACGGGAGGAGCAGCTCCATGTGGACACGACAAGGGGGCCCTGTAATATTCAAGAAGGTCTCTCTGGACTCCTGGTGGCTGCTAGCAGGGCTCTGACCTGTGATGCCCACAGGCCCAGGAATGGAGCAACATCCTGCTGCCCCATCTACGTCCACTGAGTCATAGCAGAAGTCATGCAATCCCTCCTGTGGCAGTCATGCCAGATACTCCTGGGACCCCAGACTCCAAGCCCCTGAGGGGCTTGACATAGGACCCCAGGACCCTGGCACAAAAGAAGAGGTCTCACCCCAGAGTTCCCATCACCAGCAGGGTCCTCTGGTACCCCATCCTCCTGCCTCCTGGGGCTGAGGAGGGGTCTCCCCTGAATGTACCCCCCATCACCAAGGTCTGGCTTGGCCCTCCTTGGAGCCCCCCCCCCACACTCACAGGGTCCTCAGGCCATCCAGCCCCCGGAACATGCCGCTGCGGATGGACTCCAGCTGGTTGGCGGTCAGGTGCAACTCGCTCACGGAGGCTGCACCCTCAAAGGCCCCATCTTCAATCTCTGACACCTTGTTGTTGCTCAGGTTGCTGGGAGAAGCATGGGGTGGGATGATGAATGGTCCACATAAGGGCTCAAGCACCTCCCTTCCTTCACCCAAGCCCCACCTGGGAGCCCTGTCCCCCATCCAAAGCCCACAGGGAGACCCTTCTCCTTCTCAGCCAGGGGCCTGCAGGGCACCTGCCCGCCAGCCAGTAGCTCACATTTTCTTCAGATGTGCAAGTTTCTTGAACATCCCAGTGGCCTCGATGATGGAGATCTCATTGTTGTTCAATCGCCTGTCAGAGGCAAGGAGAACGGAGATTTGTACACACCATGCTTCCCAAACACTTGGGAATCTTGGAAAAGTTTAGCTGGCAAATTACTCCCACTTTCAAGCCAGTGACTGTGATCTTACACCAAGAATATACCCGCGCCTAAGAGGCAGCTGCACTCAGGTGTCTGTACCTCCACAAGTACAGTGCACAAAGTTCTGGTTTAGAGCTGATTAAAAAAGAAGAAGAATAAAGGAGTCTGGAATCATGTCCTCCACAGAGGACAAAACCTGGGTGCTGACCCGTCCTAGGTGCCAGGCCTGGAGGCAGAGGTCAGGGATGGGGTGGGGCTACTTTCTGCTAAGGTCAGCACTGGCACACCTCAGCCATGGGTCTCAGGGCTTTTCCAAACATGGCAGAGGGAAGCCCAGAGCAGGCCAGAAAGGACAGTGGGAGCTGGGAACCAGGATGCTCACAGCTCGGCTGTGGACTGCGGGGTGCGCTCGGGGATCTTGGTCAGCTTCAGGCTGGCACACTCCACTACGCCAGCCTCGCAGCGGCACTTGTGGGGACAGACAACATCACTGCCGCACTCACTGTTGAGTTGATAATCCTCGGTGCCTGCAGGAGACACAGGGGCTGAGGGATCGGGGCAGCCAGGGTCTCCCGGACACCAGCCTGCTGCTGCCCACTGCCACCATGCCCCTGCTCCACTCCAGGCTGGTCTTGCCCCCTTTCCTACCTGGAATGAAGTACTGTTCTTTGGCTGAAGAGAGAAGGAGAGATGCGGTGATATGGGGAGCAGCCAGGGTTTCCAGCCCACTTTTGCCAGGGGCCCCACCTCCCACAGCCCATCTGCCCAACCCCAGGAAGCAGAGAACCTTACTACAGGGCACCCCTGTTCCCTGCTCAGGCCAACCCCAGGACAGGACCATGTGCAAACCAACCTCTTGCTAGGAGCATCACAGCCAGCAGCTTGTCACTGGCATCTATGCAAGTTGGGGCCTTTCAAATGGGGTGGGATGAAAGTGGTACCAGATCCCCACCAGGCTCTGGCCTCAGAAGCCTCAACCAGGGGTCAAGTGCACTGCAGCCCAGAGGCCACTTCTGCCATCCTAAAGCTTGGAGGAGGTGCCCTTCTCACCCAGGAAACTACCTTGGCCTCCCCAGGGTGTTCCAAGGCCTCCAAGTCAAGGACTTTGGTTCTCCCTTTGGAACCTTCCACAAGCCCCAGAAATGAGGGGTGGAATCCTCTCCAGCACAGGACTTTCCTGGCAGCCACTCAGAAGCCATCCCTGATCACTGAGTAGAGAGGCCACCAGAAGGCATGTGGGCAGGCAGCTGGCTACCTGAACAGCGAAACTTCTTGCTCTTGATCTGCCCGATGCGCTTGTTGGCGAGGCGCCGGGGACTGGCGCAGCGGGCCCCGCTTGTCTCAATGGGGTTGGTGCGCAGGAAGTCTGCCAGCCACTTGAGATTACAGTCGCAGATGAAGGGGTTCTGGGCCAGGTGCCTGTCCAGAGAGGCAGGTGGAGCCATCAGAGACCAGGGATGCAGACCAGAGCTGGCCTTGGGAGACAGGGAGCTGGGACAGCCAGTGTAAACTTTTCCACCCACAGGGATGTCCCACCAGTGCCACTCAGGGGCAGGGCTCTGCAGCCTGGCCTTTGCAGACACTCGAGCCCCCTCTGTTCCCTCATCTGCCCCTCCAAACCTCACTATGTCCCTTGTGCTGCCTGAGTGAAGGGAGGAGGTGCCTAGAGGCTGGCAATAGCATCCCCATCCCTTCACAGGCAAAAATGACAGGGCCAGGAGAGGGTGGCAGCAAGCCAGGCCATCAGTGGCCAAACCTCGGGCTTTGGGCTTCCCCAATGGCCATGGCTTTGGTTTGTTTCCCTTTATGTGGCAGCCCATCTCCCACTACTCCCAAGAAGGGGATCAGGGCCAGGGAACAGGGCTGCACATAGAAGTCAACATTCCCACCCCTCCCTCTCACAGGTCTGTCTCTCCTTGACCATTTTACAGGCAGCCCTGGGTCCCATTCCTCGATTCCATCTGTGACTCCAGTTTCCTGCCAGTACAGATGCTGGGAGGCTCCCAAGGTGGTTCGAGTAGCTGCATCCCAGCTGCCCAGGTGAGTTCCTGACCCCGGGCTCCTGGGCTGCTGTGGACACTGGGAGAGTGAGCCAGCAGGTGGGAGTTCTCTGTCTCTTCTTTATCACTCTGCCTTTCAAACAAGTATCGGCAAACGGCAAACCTCTCTATAGATCTACTTCCTAGCTCTATAATAAAAATTAAGGAAGAAAACCTAATGCACCAATTCTACCCCTACCAAAATGGCCTCAAGTCAAAGCAACAAAAAAGGGGCAGGCATTGTGGCATAGTGGGCTAAGCCACTGCTCAGGACAATAGCATACCAGCACAGAGGACCTAGGGTTGAGTCCTGGCTCCACTTCCAATCAGCACCCTACAAATGCGGGCAGCAGGTGATGGCTCAAATGCAGGGATCCTTGCAGATCACCGTGGGGACCTGGCTGAAGCTCCTGGTTCCTGGTTCCTGCCTGGCCCAGCCCTCACTGTTGCGGGTATTTTAGGGAGAGAACCAGCAGATGAAATCTGTAACCTGTATCTCTAGCTCTTTATAACCTTGCCTTATAAATATTTTTTTTTTAAAAAAAAGGATATCTGGCAACAGCTTGGATTTGCATTTCTTTTTCTCTTGTTCCAAATTAGCTTTGGATCTGTAACAGGCATCCCTCAGGCTCTGTAACAGGTGTCCCTCAGGCTCTGTTTTGTGCCAGCCCCTCAGCCCTGAGGGCCGGTCTTACAAAGAAGAAACAGCCGAGGGCCAACCTCAGACTTATCAGGGGTGGCCAAGCAGTGGCTGAAAGCACAGCCCTATTCCAGGGGGTGCTCTGCCACCATAGGAAAGCCACGCAACTGCCATTTGCATCTGTTCCCTTATGAGTGATCCCTAGGATGAGAGAGCTGACCGCCCAAGGGCCGTGGAGGTGCCGAGTCAGATGACATACATCAGGAACAGGGGCTCCTCACCCCTCCCCAGTGCTAAGGCTTACAGATGTCAGACCCTAGCCATGCCACCTGTCAGGCTGACTACAGCTGCCTAAGCCCACCCACCTCGCCTGAGTCTTCCTGCTACTTCTCATTATAAACCCTTGGCAAGCTTTCCCTGTGGGGTTCCATCTTCTTGCTCCCCATCCTCAGCTGCAAGTTAATCAGCAGGAGCGAGGCTGCAGGCATACACGTGGGGCTCTAATGAGTGTGCTTGTGTGGCCCACATCCTGCTGCATGCAGGGCCCCAGGGACCAGGAGCTATTTCTATTACACCTGCAGGCACCTGTTGCACATCCCACACAAGTGTCATTTGATGAGGAATGCTGCCCAGCAGACAGTAGCAGGGATGCCAGTGGCATTAATGCCAGATGTACATGAGTGGCCAGCAAACTGCAGCTCAGGAGTAGAGACATGAAGCAGAGCAGTGGCTCTGTTTAAACATGGAGCAGGTGGACAGATTCCTCACATGGGAGCATCCCAGCTACAAGAGGAGGGCTTCTTTCTGAAGCAAAGGGCAGCAGCGCCATCAGCTGCAGGTGCAGTGTGAGACTCCACTGTCACACCACAGGGCCTATGCTACATCACATGATCAGAGTACGGAGCCAAAGGCTGCTTGTTTTCGCTATAATTTTTATTTACTTCCAAGATGGAGAGACAGAGAAGCAGCACAATGAGAAAGATCTCACAACTGTTGATTCATTCCCCAAATATCCACAACATCTGGGGAGGGGGTCAGGCTGAAGACGGGGCAGGTGATTCAGTCTGGGTCTCCCACCTGAGTGACCATCACTGCTGCCCCTAACAAGGCACATTCACAGGCAGCTGGGACTTGAACCCAGGCACTCTGACATGGGATGTGGGAATCTTAGCCGCAGCACCAAACTCCGGTCCCAACAGCTTTTTATCACAAGAAGGGAGAGGCCTTGGGCCTAATGTAGCTCCCAAAGCAAGGATACAGTTCCACCAACTTGTCAAAATCATCTATCCAACCATCTATCCATCTACTCATTGAATCAACTAACCAGTCGATTAGTCCTGAAGCCGACCAACTCCTAGATCGAATTTTTGGTCTATCAGGACACAGAGGCACAAGAGCATGTGAAAGGGGGGTGAGTCAGGCAAGCCCAGACTGCAGGGAACCACTCAAGTAGGCCAGGAAGCAACATCTTATAAAAAAGGATGTGGGGAAAGGGGATGGTGAGTACAGCTGGACATCAGTAATAGGGTAGGCACTATGGCGCGATAGGCTAAGCCTCGAGCACCCAAAGGGGTTCTGATTCATGCCCCGGCTGCTCCACTTCTGATCCAGCTCCCATTCATGGCCTGGGAAAGAGGAGAGTTTGGCCCAAAGTTTTGGGACTCTGCACCCACATGAGAGACCCAGAAGTTCCTGGCTCCTGACTTAAGGCTAGCCTAACCCTGACCATTATGCCATTTGGGGCATGAACCAGAGGGTGGAAGATTTCTCTCTCTCTCTCCTTCCATCTCACTGTAACTCTGATTTTCAAATACATACATCTTTTTTAAAAAAGTCCACAATGATGCAGGGGAGTTGTCTGCTGGTATCCATCAAGAACTATACTGCACAGGCCTTGATCCTGACTCAAACTATTAAAACTGTACAACTTGGAAATTGAAAAAATCAGCAGTTGTGTTTTGAGATGTAGTAAGGATCTGTGGTTGTGCTGCTAACACCTCCTTTTAGAGATCCATGTGAAGTCTGGACAGGTGACAAGTGGTGTCTGGGATTTGTTGTAGAATACTCTGAGAGGCATGGAAGAGAGGGGTCTTGGATGCAGTGGGCAAGCCAGAAGCTAAAGCTGGGGGCTTGCTGTGCCAGCACACAGAAGCCCGTAGCTCTCCACAACCAAAGAGCACAATTATATGAGTTATTATTCTCTGGCTTTTAACTCAAAACCACCATTGCTATATTCTGATTTGGCCCGATCGATCCCAAGTGGTACTAGTATTTTTTATGATCTCTCAAGAGAGGACAAAATGCCGCCACTGAAGTGACCAATTATTGCATGCATCTTAGTTTCTGAGCTGTCCACATGAAAACAACAGGTGTCTTAGACTTCACAGCTAAATTATTACCATAGCTATTATTCCTACTGTTATTACTAGCTGAGCAAGCATTTTAGCACAAGCTATGTTCATACAAACATTCCCTTTAATCATACAGTAACGCCAATAATGCCACGAAGATGGCCCAGGGCTGCCTAGCCAACACGAGGCAGGGCTGGGATTTGAACCCAAGATTGCATAGCCTTGAGTCTGTAACTTTACTCTGTAAGAGATCCCTAGTGGCAGAGTAGCTGCCTGGACCAGGGCCACTGTCCCCTCCCCTGCTGGACCAGGTATGGGGAACCCTTTTTCTGCCAATGGCCAGTTGGTTATTTATTTACTTAGAAATTAGCCAGCTGCAGATATATTATTGTGTCTTGAGTCCTGCCTGCGGTTGCCTTGGTAGGGCCACCCAAGATGATGACATGGGTCTTCCATGACCCATGGACTGGACGTTTCCCACCCTGCAGGCCACCTGCTAGAGCCTTCCCACTTAGAGGCTTGCAAGGAGGCCAGTAAGGGGCCACTCACAGCGTCTGGATGGCCCGCAGTGAGGCGAAGGTACCCTTGGCAAGACTCTGGATCTTATTGTCGTACAGGGAGAGCAGTGACAGGCTCTGCAGGTCCTGGAAGGCATCGGGCCGGATGCAGTTGATCTTGTTGGCATTCAAGAGGCTGCAGACAGAGCCAGGGCAGGGCAGTGAGGGCACAGCCACAGGGCTGGGCTCCCTCCCAGGCCGGGGCATGCTCAGCACAGCCCAGGGAGCAGGCCAGGGGCATGGCCCTCTGTCACCCACTTCTGGGGACTCCAACAGCCTGTTCTGCACATAAGGACATCAGTCCATCTTCTGTCCTTTAGGGAGCTGTGGGGTCCAAGAGGGCAAAGCACAGAGCAAAGCTACTTCCAAAGGCATTTCTGGGGTCTCTCCTCATTCCCAGGGTTCCATGAGGTTCCCCAGGAGGCAGAAATGCAACAGTGCGGTTAACCCCCCTGGGGTGCCCTGGGGGTCATGGTCTGCATGCTCCCACTTTGTAGAGGTGAAAGGAAGCAAGTGTGCATGTCCCCTGCCACACCCCCCCACACACTGCCCCACTTCCCAGGGGCCTGTCCCCAGCTCTGAGCTCTGCAGAACCTGTAGCCTGCCAGCCCTTCCAGCCCTGTCTTCCTCCCTTACTCCTAGCCTCAAATGAGTCCATACCCCAGGGAGGCATGGGCAGGTGGGCCAGAGGAATGCTGCTTCCTCCATGGGTTCCCCCCTCTCCCTTCACAGACACCCACAGACAGGCCCTTACAGGAGCTGGAGGGTGTACAGGCCTGCGAACACCCCACGGGGGAGGTCTGTGATCTTGTTCCCATAGAGGACCCTGGAGGAAAAACAATAGAGAGGGGGGAGGTGAGAGGCAAGCCATCAAGCCTGGCATCACTCCGCACGTGGCCTTGGCACCAGGCTCAACAGTCTTTGTATGTTTGTTACAGTGACGTGCCAGCAGATGGCAGTAGAGTATCTCCAGAAAGGGAGTCTGGCCTCCAGAAGGTACCCAGGTAGCCTGCCAGCTCTTGCAGAAGCCGGCTCCCTGGCCTGCACACCCCAATGCTGCTGCGGAAGCCTGCAGAGGGGACCTGGGGGAAACCTCAGGCCGGTAATCTGCTCCAGGAAGCAAAGCAGACTGCAGAAATGTGAAGGCCCCTGGGGCAGGACGAATTAGCCTAGGTCCAGAGAAATACAGGGGGAAAGAGAAGACCAGGCAGGGAATGCTCTCTCCTGAGAGAGGCCACACATAGAACATGCCGAGCTGCTGTCTTCCTGGACTGCTCCTGGGGAGGCAGCTCCCTTCAGCTGTACTTGCCCGGCCTCCCACCTGCATCAAACCCATGTCCTGTGCTGCCAGGGGGCGAGGTGGGGCTACTCACAAACCACAAACAGCCTCACCCAAGGTGCACACTCTCCACATGGGAGCACAGAGAGGAAGGGGCTTGGTGGACCCGGGGGTGTGAGGAAGGGTCACAGGGAAGCCCATGCTGCCCCATGCTTCAGTGATTGACAGATACCACCCTCACAGCCCCCCGCCCCACACCCAAAACAGACTGCAAAGGGCAAGATGGCAGGGCTGTGTGCCCCACCCAGGCGCTGCCACTCACAGTGAGTTCAGGGAGCGGAGGCCCTGGAAGGCGTCGGGCGCCATCTCTGCAATGTGATTGTTGCTCAGGTCTCTGTAAGAGAGCAGGTAGGGGATGGCTAGCTGCAGCAGGCCAAGGGCAGGCCAAGGGCAAGGCTTTGAACCCAAGGAAGCTGAAGGGCCATTGGTTTCATCCTGTCCATCACCCTGCTTGGCAAGTGTCCCATGCAGCCCCCAGCCCTCTCTGGCCCCAGGGGAGGCCTGGTTCTCCTGCCCAGGCGCCAGGGAGCACTCACATCCTTCGCAGCTTTCTGTAGGGAGAGAAGGCCCCCGGTGGGATGGACTTGATGCCATTGAGCTCCAGGCGGCTGTGAAGAGAAGGTACAGAGAAGCCCAGGGCCCAGGTCAGTGGAGCCCTCAGCCCCTCTCGCCTCTCCTGGAGGCTGAGGCCTGAGGCAGCTGCCACAGGGATGCACCATTAGCCCAGATCCCTGCAGCTGAGAGGGGCCCCAGAAGATGCTCAGTGTTCAGGGTTTAGAAGGCACACCCTGGGATGGGGAGGCAGAAAATGGACCACAAGGACCAGCCTAGGGCAGAATGATCACCCCAGCAACGGCATGCTGAATCTTTGCCGCTTGTTGCTGCCAGGCCAGGGACAAGCCCTGGGTGGCGCCTGCCCCAGCTCTTCCCTGAACCCCGCCCCCAGCACCTGCCCTGTTCTACTCACAGCTCCGTCATGGACTCGGGGAGGTTGGCAGGGATGGCGGTGAGGCCTTTGCCGCGGCAGTCCACAATGCCATTGCTGCAGGTGCACATGGCCGGGCAGGAGCCAGAGGAGAGGGTGCAGGCAGGCACACGTCCTGCCTCCCCCTGGCCTGTGGACACAGGGGGCTGTGATTTCAGAGTGTCCTGCACTGGCACTGCCCTCCATAGACAGAGACACAGGTGGAGACAAGGTACACGGGGCTGTTTCTCTGGGTGAGAATAAACCAGAAAATGGGAAAGAAGAGATGCTGGGCTCTCAGTGACTTTGCCTGTCTGGCACACAGCAGGTGATGGCCAGGCATTTGTTGAACTCGAATCTGAACTGAGCTGCACCAGAGCAGGGTTCATGGGCTAGGACATCAGCCCCTCAGTCCTCCAAGGCAAGTCTGAGGACTGCTCCTTCACTCAGCAACCCCCACCCTGTTCAACTGACCAATCGCACTGCAGATGCAGTGCCAAGCCCATGACCAGCATACAGACATGTGAGCCCACATGCCCACACAGCCTACACACTCTAGGGGATCTCATGTGTGGGGCAGAGAAGGCTCCATGGGCTCCACAGGGCAGCCCGTGAGGCTGGGCACAGACACCTGCCTGAAGCAGGGAGAGTGGGGCCAGGCAAGTCCAAGCCCCACCCCAGCACTTGCAGAGCTCTGGCTGTCATCTGGACCAGGAAGGGGCTGCAGGGGAAGTGAGTGATAGGTCAGGAGTGGCTCACAGGACCCCAACGGGCAGCAGAAGGGGCACAGGTTCCAGGGCCAAAGGTCAGAGGCCCTCCCATTCTGTTCCGTGAGTTGTTAAAGCACAGGGGTGAGTCAGGGAGGGGGCAAGCAGCCAGAAGCAAATGTGAGAGGCATTGGGTGAGAGTAAAAAGTCAGGGAATGGGAGAGAAGAGGCTAGGGGAGGGGAGCAGGCAGTGGGGGAAGGCAGGAGGGGATGGCTAGACCAGGGTTACTGCTAGTTGTGGTGGCCATGAGCAGGCAGGAGGCCAGGGGCCGCTGGGAGCCCAGCAGGGGCCCATATCCACCTGAGCAGCTGAATTCGCTCTTCTGGACCTCGGCCACGTTGAGGCCACGCAGGCTGGCAGGGCCGGCGCACTGGGTGAACAGTCCTATGCTGGGCCGCTGCCTCAGCCACTGAGAGAGCCAGGCCAAGTGGCAGTCACAGAACAGGTGGTTGGAGTGCAGGCGGCTGCAGGAGGAAAGAGACAGGGACCTCACTGCCCGCAAGGAGCTCACCCCCAGGTCAACAGAGGCAACCCAGCCACAGGCAGGAGGCCCAGCACTCCGGGCCACGCCCAGTCCCCCACCCCCCCAGCCCATGCTCCACGCACAGCTTCCCCTCCCTGCCCCTGTCCCCCTGAGATAGCCACTGCCCCAGGCCCCCTGACTCAAACCCTCCTGCAGCTTGCTTCTCATGTCCTTCTTCCCTCCCCGGGATACCCCAGGCAAGCGCCTCCACCCCTCCCCTGCTGCAAGGTGATCTCACAAGGTCCGCAGCTTGGGCATGTGGTTGAAGCTGGACACGGGGATGGTGGTGATGTTGTTGTTGTTCAGGGTCCTGGAAGAGGGGATGCAGGCAGGACTCCATGACCTGTGACCCTTCATCCTTGGAGGCAACTCGGCAGGGCAGGTCTCTGAGTCCGTGTCCTGTCCCAGAGCTACCCAGGCCACTGCCTAGGGGCTCCCTACGCCCCTCTGGGCTTTCCATGCCCTTTCTCTCACTCCCGCCCCTCCTCCAGGTACCTCAGGCTCTCTGGCCCTTCCCATCTTCCCTGCCCCTTTGGGCTCCCCATGCCTCTCCCCTTTCTTCTCCCTTTCCCTGTCATTCCCCTCCCCTCCCTCACCCCTCTCCTCTTTTACTTACAGCACCTCCAGCCCTCTGAGAGCCCGGAAGGCCCCTTCCTCAATGCAGCTGATCTGGTTCTTGTCCAGCTGTCTGTGAAGCAACAGAAGTTGGCAGAGGACACAGGGTAGTGCCTAGCACAGGATGTCCCAACGTGTTGACCCCAAATTCCGTTTAGGTAAAAGAGGCAGTCGGCCTTTCTGCTGCAGGTTAGCCCACCACTTGGGACCCATGCAGCTTGTGTCAAAGCTCTGGCTGCTCCACTTCCGATCCAGCGCCCTTCTAATGTGCCTGGGAGGCAGCAAAGCGTGGCTCATGTGCTCAGGACCCTGCAGCCATGTGCGAGCTCCTTACACTGCCCCCTCACTTAGGTACCCTTAATCTAGATGGAGATTTGTCCCAATCAGGAAAACAAAAGCTTACACTTGTTCCTGTCTTCAGAATGGAAATGAGAGAAGGCTAGAGTCCTCCAGGGAGCTTCACCTCCCCACCACCCTGGTGACCACCCAGAAAGTGCCAGCAGCTCGGAATGACAGTATATGACAAAGGAGAGGTGGCAGAGGGGCTTGCCAACAGCCTTCAGCCATAATGCCACAGAATAACATCCGAGTAAACGAAGGCTATGAGCAAGAACACGGTGGCTGATTACTGAAGTCTGCCACAGACACGGCAAAGGGGACGTGGCAAGCATGCCAGGTGTTTGCCATCCCAACTGTCCACAGGGAGGTGCTATGCCTGGGCCCAAAGTGAATGACAGTAATAAACCAACACATCTCAATGACACTTGACAAAGTATGTGTACTTGCACACGTCATTTAGACCTCAGGACAAGCCCACGGGAGAGACCCTATTACCCACATTCTCCAGGATGGTATGTCAAGGCTCAGTGAGGTGGACCAACCTGCAGCATACAACAGGTAACTGGAGAAAGCCCAGGGCCGCCCACTGTGCACCCCCACCCTGGGTCGTGACACTGGTCAGCCCAGACACCACTCCCACCCACCTGCTGTGCTCTCATGGTGGAAGGGGCTGCCTGCTCCCTCCAGAAGCCCACACTGGCACAGCCACTTCATAGTCTGGGTCAGCTCCTCAACCATGATTGGGATCACATGACACAGCGAGAGCCCCAAGGACACGGCCGAGGTGGTCCCAGAGCCCCTGCACCTCACTTTCCAACCCAGGACTATACTCACAGGTTCTTGAGGTCGGTGGCGCCCCGAAAAGCCTTCCTGGGGATGGACTGGATGGCATTCTCACTCAGATCCCTGGTGGGGCAAAGCCGGAGGAAAACAGCTCAGAAAGGGGATCCTGCCTGAGGCCAGGGTGGCATGGGAGGCTCGGGAGCAGGGATAGCAGAGGTCACCGTGCCAGCCTGGGCCCCCCCGCAATGCCGCCTGCCATTGGCTGGCAGCTGGCTGGGTTAGCATTTCCTGATGGGATGAAGAAATAAATGAGTGGGGCTGGCGTGGAGTGGGGACGCTGGGTCTTGGCCACCTCCTCTTCTTGGGGTAAAGGGGTTCCTGGGGACCCCAGGCAGCGATGCTCACCCAGAGTCTGGGGGTGAGGGAACATTGGTGGGACTGATGGACAAATGCCCCACTTCTTCCTGGCATGGGGTAGAGTAGCTGCTGTTCCAGGGGGACTTCATTGCTCCCCCTGCTCCCCACCTCCCAATTCATATCCTGTCTCCAGGGAGGGAGCACTGCAGGGTGTCCACAAACACCAGATGCTTCCACAACTTTCCTGAGAGGACTGGCCCTGCCATTGCCCCACCTCTCCACTCTCTCTCAGCTGTTTCCCTGGCAGCCACAGGGACCCACACACACCTCTCCCCTGGCTCCATTCTCAGGCTGGCACAGCCCCTCCTGCTAATCTCATGGGGCAAGAATGACAATAATTCTAATTCACAGAGATAGAAAAAGAGGCCCAGAGCAGTTAAAGGATTCCTTCTAGGTGCCCAGCCCGCAGGTGCCAGGGGCTCCAGAACTTGATCAGGCCCTTTGCATTGGCTGGCAGCTGGCCTGGGGGGCCAAGGCAGGAGCCCAGGTGCCCAGGTCCAGTGCATTGGCTAGCCTGGGGGTTCAGGTGACCAAGTCAGAAGCCTAGGTACTCAGCAGCTGCCCTGAGGCTGGGCAGGGTAGGGACCTGTGCCACCCACCCCAGAGCCTGGCTCAGACATGCTGTCCAGCCCAGACCGACTGGCCCGACCCGGGAGCCCTGTACCTCATTGGGCCCCAGAGTAGCCCTTATGCTTCCTCCCCAGTACCATGTGCCCTGGGCCAAGGAGATGACATCACCAGGTGAGCCAACCACCACCACAACTGCTTCCAGACACACTGCAGTGGATGGAATGTCTGTGTGGTCTGGGAACCCCCAAACTCCCAGTGTGACATGCCACCATCAAGGCCGAGGGTGGAGGCCTACAAAGGGGCTCCGGGGCACCTGTTTTTTTCCTCCCTGACTCCACATGATGATGCAGTAAGAAGGCATCCAGGAGGGTGACCCATTGGTGGCTCCCAGCACATGTCATGGGACAGCCACACCAATGGAATGGACCACACCCAGCAAGGCACCCAGCTCCTCAGGGCATCTGGGATTCCCAGTGTACAGGTGGGGCCAAGTGCTAGCACTTTCTCTGGGAGACGCACACAGGGAATGAGGGGGACAGGTGCGCCATTAGTAGGGAAAAGATTAGTGTGGGGAAGGTTGGTGTCCCAGTGGCAGGCAGGGGGCCACATAAGGATGGGGGATGTGCAGAGGGACCTGGCGTGAGCCAAGCTAGCAGTGTGGCCCTCAGCCACGTCCCCCAGGAGCTCTGGGCCGGCATTCACATCCATTATTCCATTTCATCCTCACCACAGCCCCGCAAGGAAGGCTTTTTCCTTGCTGTTGATTGGTTTATCGATTGAGACCCAGCCTTGTTACAAAAAGGCTTTGAGGTGGCTTACGGGGATCCACAGACAGCAGAGGAGCAGATGTGAAAATGGGGCAGAAGAGAAAAAAAATCAATGGTGGCCTAGGAAGCAGGCATCACGTGACTCGTGCACCTGCCAGCATGCAAAAGACTGGTCAACAGTTTTCATAGTGCAAAAGGTTGCAGAAGTCTATGGGAAGAATGGAATTAAAATGCAAATTTATAGGGGTGGACGTTGTGGCATATAGTACTAAGACACTGCCTGTGGCACCCGTATCCCAGATGAACACCGGTTCTTGTCCTTGCTGCTCCACTTCCGACCAGGAAGGTGGCCTAAGTGCTTGGGTCCTTGATCCCGCGTGGGAGACCTGGATGCAGCTCCTGGTTCCCAGTTTCAGTTTGGCCCAGCCCCCTGAGGAATGAACCAGCAGTTTGAGGATCTCTGTCCCTCTTTCTCTCTTCTGACTCTCCCTATCTCTGTAGCACTGCCTTTCAAACAAACAAATCTTTTTTAAAAAAGGTCTTTTTACCAAAATAAACTTATCTTTTCATTCTATTTTCCATGCACATTCAAGGTCCCCTTGTATTTGTGTGAATTTAAAAGCATCTGTGCCTCTGGGGTTCAGCTGTTTTGGCACTCTGATGAGACAAGAGCTATCCCAGGAGTCTCCATAAAAAACTGAATGTGGCCTAATCAATAAAGTCAGGTCCATATAATTAATGGAGCTTGAGTGTCTGTTTCTTACAATAGCATCACATCCAAGCACAAGTCAGGAACAGCAATTCAGCCGGGTGCAAAGGAAGGGAGGGAGAGGAAGGCAGACAGCAGGGGGCAGGGCACAAGACAGGGCCGGGGATAGCAGGTGGCAGGTGGCCATGACAGGATGGAACAGCCCTGAGGGTTGGGATCTAACACCTCCTAGGGAGCACTGTACCCTGCTGGAGAATGACGCAACCCCTGCAGGCAGATGAGATGCCAGCATCACCGCTTAAACACCTGACGAAGAGGGTCCCATGCCAGGTGTGGCGCTGGCCCCACATGGCCAGCCAGTCCACGGCTGGAAGCAGAGCCCACTGTTGACCCCAGGAGAGACTAGCCCTTCAGCCAGAAAACAGAAATCTCAGGAAAATATGGCCCGCTGGGGAGGGATAGTGGGAGGGGAAGCTGAACCTGGTAGTGACGATGCCAGCTAGGACCCCTGCATGCTCTGTCAGGTCGCCTGGATTGGCTCCCACTTCAGGTGTTATGCAGAGTCCCAGCTCCCTGCTAGTGTAGACCCTGCCTCCCACACCAGGCTGGCATTGAGTTCCCTAGTCCTGGCTCCAGCCCAATGCAGTCCTGGCTGTTATGGGAGGCTGGGAGAAAGCATCAGTGATAGAAGGTTTCTCTCTCTCTCTCTCTCTTTCTGCAGCAAAGGGAGCAGGGAAGGGACCACACTGCAGCAAGCAGGTGAAGAGGTGCCTGTCCTCACCAGCCAGGCGCCCCCGTGCAGCTCTCATCCCAGGCTCCCTATTTGTTAGAGGGGCACACAAACGCCTACCACCTGGGGGTCTGAAGACGACAATGCAGTATCAGCAGACGAGCTTCTAAACTCTCTGCTCTGCTCGGAAGGCTGCCTTTGTCCTGCCGTGAACATGCAGCTCAATTCCTTTCCCGCAGGTTCTGAGGGTTGTTTCCATGTTTCCCACCAGGGGGTGCCAGAACGCTTCCTTGCACATGCCTGTCCAACACATTGCAAACCCAAACAAAGCCATTCTCAAATTTTGGCCCCAGTTGACTTCCTCCCTGGCCTATGCTTCTGTCATCTTCTCCAAACGCCTTGAAACCAAGCTTCACACCTCCACTTGCATCTGGTGCTCTCCCCACTGCTTCCCTAGTGATTGGCACTCACCCTGTAGATCTTGGGGTGCAGGTCCCCATTCTGCCTCTACCATGCTGCACCTTCTGGCCCAGCCAGTCTACAATTACCCAGAAACCTAGGTATCAGGGAGCATTGGGTCTGGATAACTTTCACCTCTCCCTCCAGTCACACCCTCCCAAGGGCACCTGTCCCACAGCCTGGGGCACCACTGCTATCAGTCTTAGCAGAATTGAACTCAATTGCCCTGCTCCCATGCTGCTGCATTTTCCTGGCCAAGGCAAGGAGTGAGTCAGGCCATGGGACCAGGCAGGGGAGGCAGGGGCCCCAGCCAGACAGGCTGGTTCCTCACAGGGCATGCCACTGGGATATACTGGGAGGACTGGTTCCTGCTCTGTCCCCCATCCAGGGCTGAAGACTCAATGAGATGAGGGCTGGATGGGAAAGAAGAGTGCACAAGCTTGGTTGGATCAACCATGCCTCATTCTCACCTATGTCCTTCCAGAATATCAATCCTCAGGTGCTTCTGCAGGGCTGCTGGCAGCCATAGCAAGCCACTGTGTGCAACCCCCAAGACACCCCAAGACACACAAGCCACCGGGGCTGACACTGTGGCTCAACAGGCTAATCGTCCACCGCCAAGCATCAGCCTCTCATACACCAGTTCATGTCCCGGCTGCTCCTCTTCCCATCCAGCTCCCTTCCTGTAGCTTGGGAAAGCAGTGGAAGACAACGCAAGTCTTTAGGTCCCTGCACCCTTGTGGAAGCCCTAGAAAAAGCTCCTGGCTTTGGATTGGCTCAGCTCTGGCCATTGTGGCCATTTGGGGAGTGAAATAGCAGAAAGAAGATCTTTCTCTGTAAAATCTGACTTTCCAATAAAAACAAAAATAAATCTTTTAAAAGGAAAGAAAAAGCAAGCCACCCTCCTAGGACCTCTAGGGCCAGAATCAGGCAGAGGTCCCCTCACTTCCCTGGTACCCCCTCACACAGGACACTTCCACAGGGCCTCGCAGCATCCTGGTGATGCCACATGACCACCACCCCGGCTTGCTCCCAGACGTGGGCTCCATCCTGACTCCTGGGCGTTCCTTCTCCTCCACGTTCCACCGACACCACCTCGGCCAAGGCTGGGCAAGCCAAGGTCAAGACCCCATGTTCTCACTGCTAATCCTCCTTCACGCTCTAATCTGATTGGTCTCTGCCAGCAGGCTGGCCTCTAAGGGGATTAGTGGAGGAGTTGGGGGTGGGGGCAGCTGGGAGTATGCTGGGCCCCAGCCAAGCCCAGGCTCCTGCTGCCGGCCTGCTTGCTTGATGCCAGCTCAGTCTCAGCCATTGTACCACAGAGCACGAAGCCTGCAAGCAGTGCTCAAGCCACGCAGACCCTGGGCCACCCCGCCTAGCCTCTCCACTCCGTGAAGCCCACCAGGCCTCTCCAGGCTTGTTCACTAAAACCCAGGGCAGCCGCAGGGCACCGCCTTCCTGTTTCTGAGGC